CGGGGCAGGGCGACGCGACGGGGCAGGGTGACGGGACGGGGCAGGGCGACGCGACGGGGCAGGGCGACGGGACGGGGCAGGGCGACGTGACGGGACAGGGCGACGGGACGGGGGGGAAAGGGCGGGCACGACGTGACGGGGGGAACGGGCGCGACGCGACGGGGGGAAAGAGCGCTAGGCGACGGGGGGAAAGGGCGCGACGCGACGGGGAGAAAGGGCGCTAAGTGACGGGGGAGAGAGCGCTAGGCTCGGTACTAGGCGCGGTAACAACGGAACCGGTACGAAAGAGAGGTAGGATCAGGCTCGGGAGGGACGAACGGAGAACGGAGGAACGGGATCCCACAGGATCCTAACCTAGCTGATACCATGTCAAAATGAGGAATGAATGATGCCATTGATGTTGGTTGGGGTACATATAACAAACCCTAACTTCTGTACCCCCTAAGACAAACCTCACTACAGGCTACAACATTTGACAACTACTACTGCTAGTACTCCTCATGCTTCGTGCTGGTCTGCTGCTTGCCTGCAGGTGCGGCGTTCTTCACTGCCGGCTGCGCGTCTCCCGCACCATCCCTGGCGCGGCCACTTGGACCAAGCGACGGCGGCGCCGCCGCCGCCGCTGTGCTACCTTCTGCCGCTCAAGCCAGCCGGCGTGGTCTGAAGTGGAAAGGGAAGGTACATGGTAAGTGTCCACATGCCTTTGATGCATGCTGCTCGCTCCTTCGCTTCGCTTCGCTCCGCAGTGCAAGCATGATGATAACCTTGCACCTACTAGAGTTTGCAGCTTCTCAAGAGCTGATGCGTGCACCTGCTCAATATGTGAAACATTTAACGGCTGCATGATTTTGAAGCCGTCGTGATGGCCGCCATTGGAGTCCTCTTTAGCCCAATCAGCTAACCAGCATGGGCTGCATCCCTCCCCATCCCTTCTCATTTTTAGAGAAATATGTAGCCGCATTGATTCCTGACGGGGATAAATGGTCCGGCGACCGTGGAGCATTCGGGATAGTTGAGTACAAGATTGTGAGGTATGAACTCTTTCCACATTTCCACATAGTGAGTCATCTTTGAGGAATTTGTGCTGCACTCTCAGACTACAGGATCGAAATCGGCTCCTTCGTTGGTGCTGACGTCATCTCCCAGCACATGTGCTGCTCTACCAGTACTAGTAATGCTCCCAATATATTTTCTTGCTCGCAATTCAAGCTCTAGCGGAGCAAATTTCTCCTAATTATTCCCCCACCTCTCCCCATATCCAATTCGCAGTTACTCTAAACATGAGTGGTACTTTGTGACGGAATTTGAGATCTTCCGTATACTTTCTGGAGGAGAAGAACCCACCCTTGCTTTCGGGACTTCATGCGCACTCAAGGACGTTGTCCCTGGCATCGCAAACTGGAAAAACATTACAAGCCACGACCCTGGTGCTCTTAAAGCCCGGGTACAGCATGGTAATTTTCAAGTTCAAGATTCTTGAACTTGAAATCGCAAAAAACAGGGTTACCCTACTTGTTTTGAAGAAACTCTCGCAACCCCAGGCAATCGTCCTGCGACAACGGAACCCGAGTGCCCAAAAACAGAACTGACGCGATGATCGCCAACCATATGCACTGTTCACCACTCACATAACTTGCTTACCAAGTCGTACTCATAGACTAGGAGGCTCCAAGACAAAAACTAGCGCTAGTTGGCAAAAGCGAGTCGTTGTTAGGGCTTTTTTTTTGTGCGGAAAAAAAAATGGGTATCCACCTCAACCATCTTAGTCAGTGCACGCTCCGATTTCCCCCTCACGTCGCCGGTCTCGTGTTACAACCCGTTCACCCGCAGCACTTACGTTAGTGAACAATCGTCGCATTACTCGCGCCTTGCTTTCAAGCTCGCGTCGCACAAGATGCTCTTTTCACACTTGTTGCGGTTCAGCCTCGAGCCCCGATCGTACCGTTTGAGGCACGGGTCGCTCACGCGAATGCCGTACAGGGTCGCCAGACGCGCGCTGCCGTTAGTCTCATATGTTCCCCCTCGTCGGCCGCTCTTTCCCACGTCATACCGCTTTCCTCGTCGCCCGCAATTTCCCTCATCTCCCTCGCCGACCCTCGCCGCCCTCGCCTCTGCTTGTCGCCCGCGCTTCCCGTCGTCGCCCTTGCTTCCCCGTCACCCGTGCTTCCCGTCGTCGCCCTTGCTCTCCCGTCACCCGCGCTTCCCGTCGCCCTTGCTTCCCCGTCACCCGCGCTTCTTCTCATCTCTCGCTCTCCTCCTCAACGTCTTCGTTTTCCTCGTCGCCATAACGCCCTCGCTTCTGCCCGTCGCCCTCGCCTCCCCACATACCCGCCTCCATCTCCCCCACATACCACCCGCCTTCCTCCCCACATTCTATTCCGCTTGTCATACGCTCTTCTCCTCTTCCTCCCTTCCATCTCTCCCTCCCTCCCTCTCCCTCTCTCTATCTCTCTTTCTTGGAACCTCTCTCTCACCCTTTCTTCCACCCTTCTTCCTCCTGAGGGGAAGGGACTGAATGAGAGACACAGAGGGGATAGGACAGAAGGGTATGCAGATGTTCTTTTCCCCCACGCGCTTCCCCTCATCGCCCTCACTTCCCCCAAATTGTTGCCCCCTGTCTCTGTTTTTCCCAACCACCCGTTCTCCCACCAGCCCTGCTTCCCCCTTTGCCCTGATTCCTTCCACCCTCTGCCCTGCTCCCCCCATCCCATTCCCTGCTTCTCCCCACCCCCTGCCCTGCTTCCCCCCATCCCCTTCCCTGCTTCCCCCCATCCCCTTCCCTGCTTCCCCCCATCCCCTTCCCTGCTTCCCCCCATCCCCTTCCCTGCTTCCCCCCATCCCCTTCCCTGCTTCCCCCCATCCCCTTCCCTGCTTCCCCCTACCCTCTGCCCTGCTCCCCCCCATCCCGTTCCCTGCTTCCCCCCATCCCCTTCCCTGTCTCCGTGTTACCCGTTTCCTTGTCCCTTTTCCCTGTGTCTCCCCACCCTCTGTTCTTATTCCTTCACCCTCGCACACCTTTCCGCCTGCCCACCTTACCACCTTCCCTTCTCATCCGCGCGCAGGTGTGCCCGGAAGGTGCACGTGCTGCCTTGTGCCTGCCGCTTGCTGTCCACGCCTTCCATCCCACCTCTCCCAAACCACGTCTTTTCTATATGTGCCTCCCCTGCTGGCCCATACCCTCTGCTGATCTGCACCCTATGAGGCCGTGCCCTCTCTGTTCCCCGCCCCTGCATGTACCGAGGGATTGGGAGCCGCTTTGCCTAGCAGCCAGCCAGCACTGTGCAGGCAAGGATTCGAACTGGTGGATCATGGGGCAAGGGTAAGGGAGTGTGTTGTGCGGCATGGTCAGTGCGGAGTGGCGTGGGAGGGAGGCAAAATGGCAAGCACAGGGTGAAGGCAGGCAGGGGCCGTGGCAAAAATATGGAGATTGGCAGTGTCAGCAGGATGTGCGGCAGGATGCTGGCGGCAGCGCACGTCAGGGCATGTGCGGTGGGGCAAGGCTGGTCTGCGCTGCGGTGGGCCGGGGGAGTGCAGATTGGTGCAGGGAAAGGCACGACATGTTCCTATGTGGCCGGCCGAGACCCTTATGAGTTGCGGGATCTGAGCTTGAGAGTGTACGCTTGGAAATGTATTGCTAATGTGTTTCTTGATATGTAATTTTCATGATTCACAATTTGCTTTTCTATGCCAATCCAGCACTTGAATTTTTTACCGGTATGTTATTCTGAAGTGAAGTCTCTAACTTATCCAAATATTTTAGTCGACTAGTAATCACAGGAAATATTGTTCAGTGTACTGCCTCACTCTTACTCGCGTGAGTTTGGCGTTCCCCACCATTTCAACCCCAAGAGAAGCGCAGTGTGCCCCACCAGTGCTGGGGCGGGAGCAGTGCTCTGTCGCACACTGGGTCGTTCGGCCCTCCCATATCCTCGGGGACAGCTGTCGCATAGTATCGTGGCGAAGACTGTTTTTCCCGCCTCCTGAATTCGGTTTCGCCCCACACACATTTTCGAAATTCACGATTACCAGGTTTTCGCCTAACTGTTTCAACCCCTCATAACTTGAAAAAATACCATGCTGGCCTCGGGCTTTAAGCACAAGCGCTACAACTTTCAACTGCAGAGCGCTACCGGCCCAGTGCCCGAGGACTACGTACGCCAAATTAGTCCATCAGACCATCAGACCAAATTAGTCTGATAACGAGAGCCCTGGTGTTATCTAGCTGGAACATTTGCGACTGGACCTGGCAGCTGGCTTCAAGTACGTAGTCAGGCTGTCACCAGCTTCTTTTACCATCGGGTTGGCGTAAGGACAAGAGTAGTGCCCAGTGTTTTGTGTGTGTTGTGTCCGTGTGACTGGAGAGAGTGGTAGGTTATGGGCATCAGTAGTCAGCAAAGAAATGTGGACTTTTTCAGAACCGATGCTTTTTCTTCAGCCTATTATTCCTCAGGAAATTAACATGAAATCTAGAAGGATTTCCAAATTACGGTAGCCCAAAACCAATCTGAGGCCCTGGTTTTGACACTGATGTGGAGTGACATTCACCCTCATGGACATGGGTTGAAAGTTCATTTGTTCGGCACATGTGGACAAGGTTGTGAGGCTGGTCATAATAGAACACACATGAAGCGGGTGACATCAGTGAAGCTTGAGGTGGGACGAGTGACTGCACACAGGGTGATATGCGGTAGGCCCGTAGGGTGGTGACAAGTGCAAGGTTACGGGAGGACAAGGCGCTGGCCGGAGTAGATTCTATTGATGTCACAGACCTGCAGCCAGGCAGAAGGAATGCGGAACGAGTAATGATTATACAGAATAATAATTAACATGCAGCGTATGAGCAACCAGCTACGAGACTACATGGAGCGAAGGGTGTGATGGAAGAAATGTGACGCAAACATATCAGTGAGGACCACGAGGGTAGCAATGCAAAAGCAAATAGAAAGAGAAAAGGGCTTCGTGCGGAGCATCAGGCGGGTGGTTGGGGAGGGCAGTGGTACCTCTGGGTTGAGCTCAAAGAACTTTGAGGAGGGATTGCAGTAGACTTCGCGCGGGAGGATAGAGCTGAGAGTTTCGCCCGGCTTCACCACCCACACCCTACGTGCGTGGCGTGGAAGGGTGGTAAGCAAGGGAGTGCAAGGTACAGGAAACGAATGAAATTCAGGAGGGGATTGGGGATGTTAAAAGTTCTTACAGGTGGGAGGATAGACTGCAGATGAATGCGCATGGTAAAAATTGTGATGGAGTGGAGGGAAGGGCATGCAAGCAAGAGGGCAACAGAACCAAGGTGTGAATAAAGCCGGAAACGGATAGGGAAGAAGGCAGTGTGGTGGGGGAGGGAGGGAAGGTAGAGCACCACTCACTTGCCATCAGCATCAGTTCTGCAAGTTGGGATTCGAAGATTTGAAGATAGGGATCAGCCAGAGCGTGCAGATTACGATGCCACGATCGCAGCATAGCCAGTGGCCATCGAGCATCCAGAGCCAAATCGAAGTCCATGCAAAGCAGGGTGCAATTGCGAGAAATCGAAGTGATTAAGGATATGGGGTCAATACTCACTCAGCTCACGCCGGGCAACATGAAAGCAATTGATGACCAAAAAGAAGCGATGTGAGGCCATGAAATTCCAACAGAAAATGGGGGCAGCAGTGGTGGTCAGGAAATGCCTATGTGAGATGACATGCCCTGCAGGAATGGGGCCTGTTGGCAGTGCGAAATGCGTGACAGCATGCCATTTGTGGTGGGAGCACGAATCACGCGACTCACTCCAGCTGGACTCGGCTCTGCTTCTGTGGGCGCGGCCAGAGCGCAACCATAGCCAGCATGAACGCGCCCGTCCCCAGCACCTGCTTCATCACCGGCGTGAGCCCATCGCCAACCCGCAACACCTGCCCCAGCAGCCCTCCATTGCGATTCCGCCCCTTGCCAGACAACCCCCTGCCCCTCTTAACCACCTGCCTGTCCGTCATCCCTGATACTGACGACCCTTCCATGCTCTCCACCTCATCCCCGCTCTCCCAGCTGCTCTCTGCGGCTTCGCTGTCTGCCATCGCTGGCTGTCGGCTGCTGCTGCCAACACGGCCATTGAGGTCAGCAGCACCGCCACCGCCTCCTCGCACAGTAGACTGCTCGCTCGCCCTGCCTGTCGTGCTGCTCATAGTGGCCTGCACGGAAGCCCCTGCAGATGCGGCTGCTGCTGAGGCGGCAGCCTTGGTTGAGGTTGAAACTGAGGCAACCTTTGCTGATGTCATGGTTGTGGCTTCACTGGCGACCTGCGTGGCGGTCTTGATGATGGTGACGTCAGTCTTGGTGGTGGTCGCTGATGCCATTTGCTGCAAGCCACATGATCACCAACAAACATGGACGCACAGAGAACGAATCTGTTGACCTAGAAATCACAGCTGGGATATGCTTTGCTACAAAAAAAAAAAAAAAAAAATCAGCATATGCATCACAACCCCAAACAACGCAGCCAGCTGCACACGTCTGCCAAACCATGACAATTGCACACACGAGTTTGCACGCACCTGTGCTGATGTGGCCTGAACCTCCTTCTGCACCTCTTTCACCACCTCCACTGTTGCAGTTGCAATCGAGTCAGGACCCTGAACCTGCACCACCTGAGCAGCTTGAGAAACCGAAGCAGCAACAACCTCAGGAACAGAATCCGGGACACCAGTGGAAACCACAGGCGAGGCAGCAGCAGGGACAACAGCTGCAGCGACAGGTGCAGCAGGAGCAACCTGCGCACTGACAGACTCTTCTAGAGACGACTCAGTATAGCCAGACTCGTCATCACTGCCATCAAACACCAGCATCACGTTGGACATATCCACAGGAGCCCCAGCAGCTGCACTCCCTGCAAGCGCTGTAGTCACAGCCACGCTTTCCTTCTGGGCTGCAGCTGAAACGGTACTGGTCGCTGTAGACGCTGTGACTGTGGCGGCTGCAGCGGTTTCAGTTGTCGCAGTTGTGCTAGTAGTGACGGTGGTGGTCGTCGTTGTTGTTGTTGTAGTGGCAGCAGTCACCTCTGTGGTGCTCGCTGCTGCTGTTTCGGTCGCTGTTGAAGCCTTGGAGGCTGCTGGAGCAGTGGATGCAACGGGAGAGGCGAGCACTGCACTGACAGTGTGGGGTGTCACGGTGCCACTGGCGATGGGAGTCACAGTGCCGCTGCTGCTGCCATCCTTGCGCTTGCTCATCGATCTGGCACGCTGTTAACAGGTCACGATTTAAAGCGAGGGGTCAATGGAGAGTGCTGGGACCAATAAGGAATAACGTTACAGATTCCCCTGGAAGGTAGTGCAAAGTAATGGATGAGGAGGAGGGGACTATATATTATATTCGCTCCTCGCATTTGCGAACGGCCTTATTGCTCCATCATGCACCTCGCTATGTTTTGTTGTTTCATGACTAGTGATTACAGTGGAGGACCTGATTTGCTTCAATTGGGATTGACTCACCATAGCCGCAATCTTGGCTCGTTCCTCATCACTGAGCATGAAGTTGGACTTGACATGCACTTGGCCTCCGTTGCTCCATGGAAGCATGTCATCACGAAAGCCTTTTTCCACCACGGAAGGTACAGACAGAGCTGCACGACCACAGTAAGTGCGGAAAAATGAAGAAGAATATGTTACACTTGCTTCGTCTGTTTTCTCAACCTGTCACAACTCCTATACATCTCACCTAGGACTGAGAAGCATGGCAAAAATGTGGGTCTGAAAGCACTCACAAGTCTTGCAAACAGCTACACCACGGGCGTCAAGGAGTGTGAAGACCACAGGATCAGTGAGGTTGAGCACCGCACTGCATCAGAAACGGCATTGTGCAACGTGTAAGAAAAGACACCGTGAACAGACGCAAAGATGATATTCGTTTTCGTTCACACGGCATTAAGAACAGCGTGGGCTCGCAGACATGTAGAGAGGGCGAATATAAACTGGCCGTCTACGCGGAAATATATGCGATCATGAAGAAATAGAGTCAGGAAGTGTTGGGGAATCGTACAAAGCGAAATCTGAGTTGAAAGCCTTGATCGATGACGTTCCTGATCCTGAGGACGTCGACGCTTGCTCATCCGTGGAAAATGATCGCGCTCCGACGGAGACTGCAACATCTCAAATGAATAGTCAGCACCGAAGCTGACCAGCAAATGCAAAACTTTGTGTAAAAGCCGTGTCTTCTTCAGCTCACCTTGAATAGCATACTTCTTTCCTATAATGGTGTTTCGGGTTTGTCGAGACACACAAAGGGAGAAAGCAGAACGTTAGACAGAGCTCGATGGAAGAACTCAGGTCACAATGCTTCCGACAGAAGAGCGACGGAGGTAGAGTCGAAGGATCAGAATAAGAGCTATTGAGTACCTGATGGCCCTGGAAGATCGACGACCTCCAACACTGCAGAATCCCGACAGATGAAAGAACGAAAGAGGTAAATACTATTGATATCACATGACACTACCGCGTCAACAAGAATGCTGGGTGACAGGACAAGGTAACGTTCGCACGCCATAGCGTAAGTGATGGCACTGAAGAATGTCAATCAACTGATAAAGCTTATTTCGGCAACTATGCGTACCTGTGATTCGCACGGTGCCAGGCATGGCTGATTGCAGCTGTCACTAGAGCTTCTCTAACTAAAGCGAGGGTTCAGCCAGAGATGTCACGTGCAGCTTCGGCAATGGTACCAAAAGAAACGACCGCTACAAACAGGTCCCGAGAACGCGCGAAACGTAATCCTCACTGTGAAGCAATGCTTATTTCATAGCACATGACAAGGAGCTCTAAGAGCGTCAGCCCTACAAGCATCAGAATCACTACGCCTGAAGGCTAATGAATCCGAGCTAAAATTATGACTAACACAAATCCAACAGCCGTGACAAACTACCTCAGGGAATATCTGGGAGCACCACAGAAATTAGCGGCAGCGGAAGAGGGTGCCTTTCGAATTGGACGATTACCGTTTGAAAGTTGAGAATTGAAGCTCATGTTTTCGATCGTTGTCAGTGTCACCGTCAACTTTCCTCACGTGTCAGCGGATTTCGCCTGTGCCTTTGACGTTTGCAATCGTGTTTGTGCCAGTCCTAGATGTTTCCGCAATCCCAATGTCCACGTCAGCAAATAGCGATTCGGCATGTGAGCTTTTCTTGTGGGACCACAAATTTGTTTCCCGCCAGCACTTTTCAAACGACCTGTTTCCACATGAGTACTGCAGGAAGAACCTGCAGCAGCAGTATTGGCATCCGTAGTGGGAGCCCTCATTGTCAGTACAAGAATGTAGCCATGTACAGGTGAAAGTATACATCCGCCACGTAGTTATCTCACATTTTTTTGCAAACTAAAACTCCACACCTTCAGCCTGTACAAAGCATGTCTTCATAGTCGTGCTTTCAGGTCCTTGCGCAACACCTTGCCAGAAGCGGTCTTCGGAATTGCATCTACAAAAATCACATCATGTAGCCTCTTATATGTCGCCACCTGCATCAAAACCAAATAACATGACATCCTTGTGCGATCCCTGCATGAATACGTGAAATGAACTGTGCATTTACTAGTCGCGCTCACCTGCTTGCTGATGAAATCCTTGACTTCTTTGACTGACAGCTTGGCACCACCTTGACTTAACACAACAAATGCCACCGGCACCTCCCCACTCTCTTCACTTGGGGCACTGTGAAAGGTGGAAAGGAGAAAAAAGGTGCAGGGTTTGATGCAAATCGACCCATAAAACAATCGAAGGCATGATACCGCCATACTGCCGAAAAAATATAGCAGCCACAGCTAAAATGCAGAAGAAAACGAGCCAGTGAGAGAGCGGCAAGCAGGGCAAGAGAAGCGAGAGCATGGAAGCCTATGGAACAACTGCAGCACTGGCAATGTCAGGATGGCTTTTGAGGCGCCTAAAAAAACCTCAAATTTTTTTAGGCGCTTTAGACGGGCAAGAGAGGGAATAGCATGGAAGCGTACGGAACAACTGCAGCATCTGCAATGTCGGGATGGGCAATGAGCAGGCCCTCCAGCTCCGCAGGAGGCACCTGGAGAGCAGGAACCAGAATGAAGAGAGACAAGTCAGAAATGCATTGTAGCCAGCATAAACTCCCAAGCAATACAAATAGCACCTCAAAAGGACCAACCAGTAAGTCGGTTCCAAAAAGCCGTGCACCGGTGGCACATCCGATGCCTTATTTAGCCTTGTCCGCCTACGGTGCAGGTACGTACAACAGTCACACATTGCATCCCATCTGGAAGCCCTCACCTGGGAGCCCTTGACTTTGATGCGCTCCTTGACTCGATCCACCACAAATATCTTCCCCCGGCCATCCATATAAACCACGTACCCCTTCAAAACAAACGCACTCACTACAGTCACACCTCATTAGAGCACCATTCTCTACAGCCACATCCCACCTGGAAGCCCTTGACTTTGATGAGCTCCTTGACCCGGTCAACCACAAAGATCTCCCCTGCCCAATCCACGTAGGCCACGTCCCCATTCGAAACACATTTTCTACAGCGCCACTCGCTACAGTCACACCCCACCTGAAAGCCTTTCACTTTGATGAGCTCTTTGACCCTGTCCACCACAAAGATCTCCCCCATCTTGTCCACATATGCCACGTCCCCCGTGCGCAGCCAGCCGTCCGGCGTGATTGTGGCTGCTGTCGCCTCGGGATTGTTCAGATAGCCTTGTGGAGAGAAGCAGGCAGAATGGAGGGCATGAGGGATATGGGGGAAATTTTGATTGGGGGGGATATAGAGATAGGGTGGAGAGGGGTGAGGGGGGGGGGGGGGGGGAGGAGAAGGGGATCGCTGAAATGGCCATTGGTTGAAAAGGGGACTGGTGGTTGAAGGGAGGTGAAGCGTTGAAAAGGGAAAACAGTAATGGGAAAGATTCAGACTCACGTCTGAACCTGTGGAGCTAAGGAACCGCACCCTTCAAGACCTGCACCCAACTTCCAAGCCATCACACCCACAGACAACCACACCTACACACGCTCACTCCATACAACCACCCATCTAAACCCACCCACCACCCTCTTCGCTCCCCCACACCTGCCTTTCATGACCTGTGGCCCTCGCACCCAGAGCTCTCTCTTTCATTTGGCGGCATCGACTCCCCTGTGCTTGTGTCCACCACCTCTCTCGTGGCCCCTTCACCTCCACCAGCAGCAGCACCCACCCACACGCCCCTGGTGCGGACCACACTCCCCTGAATTTCTGGATGCCTGGGGGTGCTCCTGAACTCGCACGACTCAGACACACAGGCACACACACGCACAGAGACACACAAGCGCACCCACCTTTCATGACCTGCGGCCCTCGCACCCGAGTTACCCTCTCTCTCATTTTGAGGCAGCGACTGTGGCAGCCCCGACCCACAGGAGCCTCTCTCGCACCCGTGCTCGTGTGCACCACTTTGACTTCCGTCAGTGGCAGCACCCACCCACACGACCCGGGAGCAGGCGGGGTACCTGAAAGCACAAATCCACACCCACACACGCGTGCACCTACCTTTCATGACCTGTGGCCCTCGCACCCAGAGCTCCCCTCTCTCATTCGGCGGCAGCGACTCCCCCGTGCCCGTGTGCACCACCTTCACCTCCGTCAGCGGCAACACTGACCCACACGACCCGGGAGCGGGTGGGTGGGGCACGCGGGCAAAGAGGCGCGAGGCAGTGACGGTGGGTGAGGCCTCTGTCATGCCATAGCCCTGAGGGGCGGGAAGGAGAAATGGAAGGAGAGGAGGAGAAGAAGGAGTTTCTGAGTCACCCATTTTGAAAGGGGGGCGCCTCAGTCATCATTGCTGTGAGGGGCGAGAGGGGAGGCGAGAGTGGAAATTGGAGGATGAATGGGGAGTTAGAGGCTAGAGGAAGGGAGGACTGGATTGAAGGGGAGACGGTGGGGAGGGACTCTGTCATGCTGTAGCCTTGGGGCGAGAGGGGAAGAGCACTACACTTACCCCAGCTGCACCCTCCCCAGCTGCAGTTACCCCATATCTACCCATTCCTGCCCCAGGCATATCTGCCTCATATCTACCTGACGCCGTGTCCCCGGCCCACCTGCCCCAGCTGCACGGTGGGAAACTTTGCTCTGAAGGCGGTCTCAAGCTCCGCCCCCAGGGGAGCCGCGCCCGACACGACCCGGCGCAGCGAGGAGAGGTCGAAGGAGTCAACGAGGGGCAGCTTGGCCATGGCTAGGATGATGGGCGGCACGATGGGCGCGACAGATATTTTGTATTCCTGCAGTGTTCGCAGGTACTGGTGCAGGTCGAACCTGGGGGGGGGGGGGAGGGGCAGGGGTAGGGAGGGCAGGGAGGGAGGGGAGTTGAATGTTCATTCTCTGACTTTCCGTTCTCACGCACCAGAGCTCGCAGGTACTCCAAGCAGGGGATCAAACCGTACCTGCGGAGGGTAGAATGACGACCCGGCGCAGGGAAGAGAGGTCAACGGAGTCAAGGGAGTCAAAGGAGTCAACGAGGGGCAGCTTGGCCATGGCGAGGATGATGGGCGGCACTGTGACTTTGTAATCCTGCAGTGTTTGCAGGTACTGGTGCAGGTCGAACCTGGGGCGGGGGGGCGTGAGGCAAGGGTAGGGAGGGTGGGGAGGGTGGCAACCTGGGGCGGGGTGACAATGACAACGCAATTTCATTCTCAGGGTTCTCAGTTTCACCAACCAGATTTGTTCTCCGGGGAAACTCAAAGATCGTCCCCGACAGGATATGTTAAGGCAGGAGAGGTCAAGGGAGTCAAGGGAGTCAACGAGGGGCAGCTTGGCCATTGCCAGGATGATGGGCAGGTGGGGAGAGTGGGCAGGGTGGGACGGGTGGGAAGGGAAAAGGCCCTGACTCAATTCGCAGCAGCCCAAGCACTGTGCGTGGGGGGCCCAAGTCCACCTGGGGAGGGTGACTGTCTGTCAGTAGCTGCTGTTGCAGGTTTTGTTGCAGGTGCAGGAGGGTTTAGCTGGGGAGGGTGACTGAAACGCACCTGGGGAGGGTGACTGAAACGCACCTGGGGAGGGCGACTGAAACGCACCTGGGGAGGGTGACTGAAACGCACCTGGGGAGGGTGACTGAAACGCACCTGGGGAGGGTGACTGAAACGCACCTGGGGAGGGTGACTGAAACGCACCTGGGGAGGGTGACTGAAACGCACCTGGGGAGGGTGACTGAAACGCACCTGGGGAGGGTGACTGAAACGCACCTGGGGAGGGTGACGACACATGACCCCCCACAGAGCGAGAGGAGGTTGACGAGGGTGATGGCGAGAGGTCGTGAGCAGCAGCCCCAACACCACGTCGTGAGCAGCAGCCCCAACACCACGTCGTGAGCAGCAGCCCCAACACCACGTCATGAGCAGCAGCCCCAACACCACGTCATGAGCAGCAGCCCCAACACCACGTCGTGAGCAGCAGCCCCAACACCACGTCGTGAGCAGCAGCCCCAACACCACGTCGTGAGGAGACAGGTCCAACTGCGGGTTGGTCCCTGCCAGCGGCTGCTGGTGCAGCAGGTGCAGGAAGGTTTACCAGATGAGGGTCGGGTGCAACATACCTGGGGAGGGTGACGACACAGGCCCCCCCACGGAGGGAGAGGAGGTTGACGAGGGTGATGGCGTAGATGTGGAACATGGGCAGCAGCCCCAGCACCACGTCCTCCCCACACAGGTCCAGTCGCGGGTTAGTCCCCGCCAGCAGCTGCTGTACGTTGGCTATGAGGTTGCGGTGGGAGAGCATGACGCCTTTAGACACGCCCGTAGTGCCTGATGAGTAGGGCAGCGCGCACGTGTCGTGCTGGGAGGGTACCACTGCTGCTGTTGGTGGTGCTTTTGGTGCTGTGACAGAGGGGTGGTGTTGCTGTTGCTGATGGGTCGTGTGAAGGTGTTGTCGCTGTGATCGGATCTTGGACCCGTTGCCACGGAGCAAGCGGTCGATGCTCATGGTGCCCGGGGGGTTGGAGCTGCTGCTGCTGCTATCATTATTGATGACGACAAAGACAATGGACTGGCCTGTCTTGACGTGATGCACCTTCTCTGGAGGGTCATGGAAGAGGGGTCATGGAGGAGGGGTCATGGAAGAGGGGTCATGGAAGAGGGGTCATGGAAGAGGGGTCATGGAGGGGGTGAGAATGGAGGGGGTGAGAAAGGAGGGGGTGAGAATGGAGGGGGTGAGAATGGAGGGGGTGAGAATGGAGGGGGTGAGAATGGAGGGGGTGAGGGTGGAAGGGTGTGAAGGTAGAGTGGAGGGGTGTGATGTGAGTGAGTAATGCTGCAGCAAATACATCATACACGGCATTGCAGCAGTCGCACACATGGGGTGGCATGGCATTTCAGAACATTGCATAGCGTCACCTGTCCTCACACACACTCTGCCAAGCAGCTCTCGCAAACGTACCCAACCCAGCAGATCACTCAGATTGATGATTATGACCATCCATGTAACCAGCAGTTGTAGTCAAGTTAAGTCAAGTCAAGTCAATTCGCACCTAACAGCTCTGGCGAGGTGATGACCATACGTGCCCCTGGTGGGACACCATCTGGTGGGACACCTCGCGAGGAGTGGAGACCTGTCTGGCGAGACACCCTCCTGACCACCGTAAAGCACATGCACCAACTAATGAAGCAGAGTGGTACGCACCTAGCAGCTCTGGCGACGTGATGACCATGCGGGCCCCCGCGTCCACCATCTGGTGCGCCAGCTCGCGAGCGCTGTAGGCGGGGTTGGCGGTGGTTACCACCGCACCCGCTGCGATGATCCCGAGGAAGAGCACGGCATACTCAGGCATGTTTGGGAGAAGCAGTAGGACGGACTCGCCAGGACTGCATGGGGGAAAGAAGGAGGGATACGGGGGGTGGGGAGAAAGAGTGGGACATGGTGGGTTTGACTTAAGGAGGGTTGCCGGTGGTTACCACCGCACCCGCTGCGATGATCCCAAGGAAGAGCACCGCGTACTCTTGTACGTTGGGGAGCAGCAGCAGCACAGACTCGCCGGGACTGCATGGGGGTAAGCATGGGCAAGGGGAATTGGATGGCAGGGGGATTACTAGCAGGAGGAGATAGGAGGGAGGTGCTGGGATGATTCCAAGAAAGAGCGCCATGTGCTTGGTCATGTTGAGGAGCAGCAGCAGCAGCACTGACTCGCTAGGCCTGCAGGGGGAGGGAGATAGGAGATGGGAGTGAGGTGCTGCTGCTGCGATGATCCTGTGGAAGAGCGCCGTGTGCTTGGTCATGTTGAGGAGCAGCAGCAGCAGCAGCCGCAAGAGCACGCAGGGCCTCGCTAGGACTGCCTAAGGGAGAGGGGGAGGCACACGCGGGTTGCAGAGGAGGAGTGGCGCCAGAGATTGATCTGGACTGCAAGGGGTTGCGATGATGATCCCAAGGCTGGGACGGTGCATTTGGGCACGCTTCTTGGAGGAGGGGGAGGGGAGCAGTAGGAAAGGACGGACTCGTGCGGACTGGATTGTGCGTGATGGTGAGACACAGGGATGCCCAAGGAAGGAAGTGGGCGTGGAGCATGGTGGGTGGGATTGGATATGACAGAAACTGGCATGGATCGGAAACAAAAGCGGCAGATGGAGAGAAGAATGATCAGGGAGGAAAGGGATCAAGGATACAGCGGAGGACGGGTGCCAGAGCAGAGGAGAGCAGAGGAGAGCAGCAGAGGAGAGCAGCAGAGGAGAGAAGCTGAGGAGAGTGTAGTACCGGATACCAAGATCGGTGATGCCAGCAGCGATGTTGTACACGAGCTCGTCCACCTGCTCGCACACGCACACAGCGCGCAGCACACAGCACACAGCACACAAGGAGACATACGCCATGGCTGACTATTACACGCACTCAGGAAACAATTAGGCTAATGTGTTCAAAAGTGTCGCCTGAATGCACTTAGGGAGTGTCGCCTGAATGCACCTAGGGAGTGTCGCCTGAATGCACCTAGGGAGTGTCGCCTGAATGCACCTAGGGAGTGTCGCCTGAATCTAGGGAGTGTCGCCTGAATGCACCTACTAGGAGAATACACCTGGAGTCATCTGAGCAATAAGCCACTAAGACACATCATTTAAGCGCAAGTCATCTGAAAACATGTCATTGGAGAATAACGAGCCGGGGGAGCGACTCATGAGGATACATCATAACATACATCATTAGAGCAGACGTAAATGCACCTAGGGAATGTCGAGTGAAATCACCTAGAGATGGTCACCTGAGCATACGCGAATTCACCTATCGAGTGTAATCTGTGCGTAAATTCACCTAGGGAGTGTCGACTGAATCTATCGAGGGAGGGAGTGTCACCTGAGCAAACGTGAGCGTGCGGCCCGTGACTCCATCGACGAACGCGCGTCTGTCGGCCCATCGCGACGCATTCTCGAGCGCGAATTCCGGGAGGAGAACGCCGTTCGGGACAGTCACGCCCGCCTCGTCGGGACAACGATAGATGATCTCCATGCTTGGAAAAAATTGCGGCCACCAGAATAAGATACCGTTCAACAAAAACAAAAATAATATATACCTGTTTTCATACTAGCACGTGCGCATCTAGTGTAGTGGTATCATAGTACCCTCCCACGGTACTGACCGGGGTTCGATTCCCCGGATGCGCAAGACACCAACCGGTTTTTGTCATCGACTGTAGTCCTAGAGCAGCATTTCTAGATCATCCATATCTTCTCCGTTTTCCGCGCGCGACTCCCCGTCATTCCGTTTCCCAGCGACCCGATTTTTTTTTTCGCCAACCTCGCGCCACAACCTTGCCGCTCCGTCCGCATCGCAGCAGCAGCCTATTTCACAGAGTCGCATGGCGTCGTGAGTGAACCCTAACTCACCTCGCCTGCCGTCGCTGCTGCCTATACACTAGCTGCTATTTAGTCGACTCAAAATCTATTCTACCCTCGCAGTCTGGCGGTCGTCAGTGAACCGCCCGCCGACATCCCCCTCCCCCCGTACCCCTCACCCCCCTTTAAACTAACCTGCCTCAACCCCCTTCCCGCTCCACTGCAGCCGGTCGTCTGTGAGCCGCCCGCCAACGCTCCCTTTTCCTTCCCAACGCACCTCAACCCTTTCCCTTTTTCCTCCCTAACTCCCAGTCGCCTCAACCCCCCTCCCCCCTTCACTGCACCCCAGGCGGTCGTCAGTGAACCGCCCGCCGACGCCGGAGCCTGAGGGGCGAGTGGGGGGTGGAGGGGAGCCCACGTCGCTGCGACAAGTGGTGGACGCTAAGGTACGGTGTGTGTCTGTGTGAGGTGTGGGAGTTTAGCGAGGTGTGCGACTCTTTGACAAGGTGTGGGACTTAAACAAGGTGAGTGACTCTCTAACGAGGTTTGTTGGTGACCCCAGAGGTTTGTTGGTGACCCCAGAGGTTTGTTGAAACCTCGTGATTGATTCACAAAGAGAGTCCAACGACTGACAATCCCCCTTTCTTCTTCGCTCTCGTCCGTCCCTCCTCCCTCCTCTCTTCTCACCACCCAGATGTTGGAGAGTGGGGAGAAGGAGGCTAATACTTTGCCAAGAGATTGACTGGAGGAGTGCGGGTGGGCTGATGGCTTTTCTTCCTTACCTTTTCCTTATCCCTCCCTCCGTCTTTGTCCTTACGCTCTTGCTTATGCCTCCCTCCGTTCCTCCCTTATTCCCCTCTTCTCTCTTACCGCCCCACACAACTCTTGGGGAGAGTGGGGAGAAGGAGCGACTCAAGGCGCAGGCATTGAGCCGAGAAACAGGCCGGAAGAGTGCGGGTGGACAGACGAACTTCCTCCCTTTCGCTCCCTTCCTGATCCCTCCCTTCTCGCTCCCTTCTCGCTCCCTCCTCCTTCCCTCATGCATGCCTCCCTCCTCCCTTACCTCCCCACACAGCTGTTGGAGAGTGGGGAGAAGGAGCGATTAAAGACGTTGTTGCAGGACAGATTGGAGGAGTGTGGGTGGACGGACGACCTTTTGGTCTACGCCAGGTAAGTTAGTGGCTGGGTGGTGATGGCCAGGGTGGTGTGTGCCGGGTGGGTGTTTAGCCGGGTGGGTGTTTGGCTTGGTTAACTCATGTGCAGACGTCGTCTGGAGGTGCCTATTTGCAATGTTTTTCCTCTAAACCGGGTATTTGTAATTCTCCGTGTGGCATGTGGACGGTGCAAGTCAGTGCAGTGACCCGCACGCATGTTTGAGACGTCTCAAAGATGCTCTCGCTTCACGTGGACGGTGCAAGTCAGTGCAGTGACCCGCACACATGTTTGAGACGTCTCAAAAATGCTCTCGCTTCACGTGGACGGTGCAAGTCAGTGCAGTGACCCGCACGCATGTTTGAGACGTCTCAAAAATGCTCTCGCTTCACGTGGACGGTGCAAGTCAGTGCAGTGACCCGCACGCATGTTTGAGACGTCTCAAAATGCTCTCGCTTCACGTGGACGGTGCAAGTCAGTGCAGTGACCCGCACGCATGTTTGAGACGTCTCAAAAATGCTCTCGCTTCACGTGGACGGTGCAAGTCAGTGCAGTGACCCGCACGCATGTTTGAGACGTCTCAAAAATGCTCTCGCTTCACGTGGACGGTGCAAGTCAGTGCAGTGACCCGCACGCATGTTTGAGACGTCTCAAAATGCTCTCGCTTCACGTGGACGGTGCAAGTCAGTGCAGTGACCCGCACACATGTTTGAGACGTCTCAAAAATGCTCTCGCTTCACGTGGACGGTGCAAGTCAGTGCAGTGACCCGCACGCATGTTTGAGACGTCTCAAAAATGCTCTCGCTTCACGTGGACGGTGCAAGTCAGTGCAGTGACCCGCACGCATGTTTGAGACGTCTCAAAAATGCTCTCGCTTCACGTGGACGGTGCAAGTCAGTGCAGTGACCCGCACGCATGTTTGAGACGTCTCAAAAATGCTCTCGCTTCACGTGGACGGTGCAAGTCAGTGCAGTGACCCGCACGCATGTTTGAGACGTCTCAAAAATGCTCTCGCTTCACGTGGACGGTGCAAGTCAGTGCAGTGACCCGCACGCATGTTTGAGACGTCTTACAAATGCTCTTGCTTCACGTGGACGGTGCAAGTCAGTGCAGTGACCCGCACGCATGTTTGAGACGTCTTACAAATGCTCTTGCTTCACGTGGACGGTGCAAGTCAGTGCAGTGACCCGCACGCATGTTTGAGACGTCTCAAAAATGCTCTCGCTTCACGTGGACGGTGCAAGTCAGTGCAGTGACCCGCACGCATGTTTGAGACGTCTTACAAATGCTCTTGCTTCACGTGGACGGTGCAAGTCAGTGCAGTGACCCGCACGCATGTTTGAGACGTCTTACAAATGCTCTCGCTTCACGTGGACGGTGCAAGTCAGTGCAGTGACCCGCACGCATGTTTGAGACGTCTTACAAATGCTCTTGCTTCACGTGGACGGTGCAAGTCAGTGCAGTGACCCGCACGCATGTTTGAGACGTCTCAAAAATGCTCTCGCTTCACGTGGACGGTGCAAGTCAGTGCAGTGACCCGCACGCATGTTTGAGACGTCTCAAAAATGCTCTCGCTTCACGTGGACGGTGCAAGTCAGTGCAGTGACCCGCACGCATGTTTGAGATGTCTCAAAAATGCTCTCGCTTCACGTGGATAGTGCAAGTCAGTGCAGTGACCCGCACGCATGTTTGAGACGTCTCAAAAATGCTCTCGCTTCACGTGGACGGTGCAAGTCAGTGCAGTGACCCGCACGCATGTTTGAGACGTCTCAAAAATGCTCTCGCTTCACGTGGACGGTGCAAGTCAGTGCAGTGACCCGCACGCATGTTTGAGACGTCTTACAAATGCTCTTGCTTCACGTGGACGGTGCAAGTCAGTGCAGTGACCCGCACGCATGTTTGAGACGTCTTACAAATGCTCTTGCTTCACGTGGACGGTGCAAGTCAGTGCAGTGACCCGCACGCATGTTTGAGACGTCTTACAAATGCTCTTGCTTCACGTGGACGGTGCAAGTCAGTGCAGTGACCCGCACGCATGTTTGAGACGTCTCAAAAATGCTCTCGCTTCACGTGGACGGTGCAAGTCAGTGCAGTGACCCGCACGCATGTTTGAGACGTCTCAAAAATGCTCTCGCTTCACGTGGACGGTGCAAGTCAGTGCAGTGACCCGCACGCATGTTTGAGACGTCTCAAAAATGCTCTCGCTTCACGTGGACGGTGCAAGTCAGTGCAGTGACCCGCACGCATGTTTGAGACGTCTTACAAATGCTCTTGCTTCACGTGGACGGTGCAAGTCAGTGCAGTGACCCGCACGCATGTTTGAGACGTCTTACAAATGCTCTTGCTTCACGTGGACGGTGCAAGTCAGTGCAGTGACCCGCACGCATGTTTGAGACGTCTCAAAGATGCTCTCGCTTCACGTGGACGGTGCAATTCAGTGCAGTGACCCGCACGCATGTTTGAGACGTCTCAAAAATGCTCTCGCTTCAGGTGGATGGTGCAAGTCAGTGCAGTGACCCGCACGCATGCATGCCTCCCCACTGACCCTTACCCTCTCTCTCCCTCTCTTGTCTCGTGGTCCGGCCATCTATCAGAGCATATGTGAGCAAGGTGGGACATGAGAACGTCTCATTGGAGGAGCTTATACGGGCCATCACACCCAAAGGCCGAGGTGTGTGGAAGGGAGGAGGGGTGTGTGCCTCGTTTCTCTTTACTATGAGTGCGCATGGTGGTGGGCTGGGCAGGGGTGTGTGGAGGGCAGGGGTGTGTGGAGGGCAGGGGTGTGTGGAAGGCAGGGGTGTGTGTGTGCTTGATTTCTTGACTTCTATTAGTTTTCCTCTTCTTGTGAGCAACTTATGTTTTCTCCTCTCGTCATCCACATGTGTTTCAATAGAATGGCTCTTTCAAAGCATCTACCGTACGGTAGGTGGTATCCTGGGTGTCACCCTGAATGAACTTATGAGTGGCTTTGTGAACGATCTTTTCTGGAGGGACTTACCTACTGCAACCATCCACACCACACACCCGATGTTCTCTAAATGCTGCCCTGCATGTGTGTTGGATTTCATGTGCTGCCATGTGCTGCCATGTGCCCATGTGGTGCCATGTGCTGCCATGTGGCCCCATGTGGTGCCATGTGCTGACATCAGCATCTGTGCCAGGACCAGTGAAGGCGGAGCTGCTTCAACGCATTCAGTCCTTCCTCACTACCAAGTGACTCGCTACAAAGAAACTCACTACAAATTGACCATCTTTTATATGGTGACTCGATATTACTAGGGTAACCGAACTGACAGACTTTTAACGGAGCTTCATGTTGTATTATAGGGGCTATATAAAAGGCTTTCTTTCATCACTGTTTAGTGCAAACAGCTCTTACTGGAAACAAGAATGATGACGATTGCTTAGAAACAACATTTGTGCATACTATACAAGTGTATCCATCCAAACTGCTTCTTCGCACAGTAATCCCTTCACATGTTTTAGAGAGGAGCACATGCCATATTGGTACAGAAGTCACTTGTACAAACACAGCCATAGGCAGAAGTGGGAACCAATATGCAGGATAGCCAAGAGGGATACCGTAAGTGAAAGGCTGTTTGGTTTGACATGGTAGGAAACAATTGCTCCAGTTGCTGTTGCTTTGCAGTTACCGTATGAGGCAGCTTACAAGTTGCCTTAAAAAACTGATTGGTGCTACCTATGCGTACGAATTACTCTGGTTGCTGTAGGTCTGCACTCTGCAGTTACAGCAGAGTTGCGTGTTTTGAGACGTCTCAATACAACAGAGCCTGCTGATGCCATGGATGGAGCTGGGGAAGGGAGGGGGAGAGAGAGGGAAGAGGAGAAGGCGGGGCAAGTGGCGGGGCGGCAGAGACATTGAAGTAGGAGGTGTAGCGCTCGTCTCTCAGTTCTGAGATGGGCTACAACAGGAACTCCTGTGAGGCTCCCCTTGCAATGAAGGAGCAGCGCTCTCAGTATGAGGGGGATGGAGCAGGCGAGGGTGGTGAGGGAGGAGGAGTGGGAGAGGGAGGGGGGGAGGGCGGGGGCGAGGGTGGGGCAGGAGGCGGGGCGGTGGTGACATTGAAGTAGGAGGTGTAGCGCTCATCTCAGCTCTGATATCGGTTGCAGCAGGAAATCCCGCGTGGCTCCCTTTGCAATGAAATTTCGGTGCTTTCAGTACGAATGGGATGGAGCAGGAGAGGGTGGTGAGGGAGAAGGAGCGGGAGAGGGAGGAGATGGGGGAGGCGAGGGCGGAGCGGGTGGAGGAGTAGCAGAGACATTGAAGTAGGAGGTGTAGCGCTCATCTCTCAGCTCTGAGATGGGCTGAAGCAGGAAATCCCGCTTGGCTCCCTTGGCAATGAAGCTCATGGCGCTGCCTGCTGCCAGGCCCTCATGGACAGAGAAGAGCACCGAGGGAGAAGAAAGCGGGAGAGGAGGGGCCAAGGAAATGGACGGTTTTCCTGCGCGTTGAACCATGAGGCTGGCTGCTGTGCTGCCACTGGCAAGACTGCTGGCACTTCCACGGCTGCTGCCACCGTCCAGAGAAATAACCCACTCGGGGCAGTCTGCCAGCTCCAACCTCACCCCTTCCACTCTCGGCCCTTCCAGCTGCAACCCTTCCCTGCTGCCCTCCTCCTCCCCGGCAACGAGTCGGAAGACAAAAGCCCGCCCATCCTGGCATGCACCCATCACTCCAGCCGTCTCAGCCTTGCCTCCCTGCAGTATGTCACTCCGGCACGCATCCATCTCACTCCTCGTCTGCCACACCACCCTCCGCGTCTCTCCACCTGACCCTGACGCTGCTGCTGCTGCTGCTGCTGCTCCCTCACCCACCTCCCCCTCTCCCTCTGTGCGCCCCGCACTGCCCACACCGCACCAGTCCACGGCCAGGAAGCTTCCAGGAATCTCCAGCGGCTCGAGAGAGATCTCCCGGCCAATCAGAGCAGCCATACCGCCGCTGTCCCACCGCCACTCCTCATCCTCCTTCTCTCCTTGCTCCCACCGCTCTCCCTGTTCTCCATTCCCTGCCTCTTCCTCCTCACCTCTTCCCTTCATAATCAAACCATTGTCCCCTCCCTTTCTTTCCACCGGCCTTCTCACTCTGAACGTTGCTGACATGGCCTCCTCTGTTCCCTCTCCTGGCCTGCCACCTGTCAGCCCAGCCACTAAGGGATTGCCACGTGTGCCACCTGCCATTGGCTGCGTCTCATTGCTCCGTCGCCAGACAACATACATCTCAGCGCTCTCATCACTGCCACTGGCACTCTCATCGCCGTCTTGCCCCTGCTGACGTGGCAGCTGATCTGGCAGCTGACGTGGCGGTGCGAACAGCGACAGGGAGATCAGCTGCTGGTTGAGCACCTCAGGGTCCACAGGCCGGATCCACGTGGCAGGGTGTGACGGGTCGAAGCCCGGAATGAGCTGGCGATCGCCGTCCGTTAGGCCGACTAGTAGATGCGGACCAAAGAGGATGGAGTGGAGTGAAGCGTATTGGGGGCGGTCGTCTGGGGCATGGGAAGAATGGGGAAAAAACAGGGGAAGAGAGAACGGGAGGGTGGATGGGGTTTGGCGATCGCCGTCCGTTAGGCCGTCTAGGAGATGCGGACCAAAGAGGATGGAGTGGAGGGAGGCGTACCGGGGGCGGTCGTCTGTGGTAAGGGTGGAAGGGGTGGAAGGTAGAATGGGGGAATACAGGTTTCAGTGAGGAAGGGAAGGTGGATGGGGTTTGGCAATCGCCGTCTGTTAAGCTGAAGAGGACAGAGTGGAGCGAAGAGTACTGGGGCCGGTCGTCTGTGGCGAAGAGTACTGGGGCCGGTCGTCTGTGGCATGGAAGCAACGGAAATGGGGTAGACGGGAGGGTGGGTGGGATCAGGGAAAGCCCTGGCGATTCCCGTCTGTTAGGCCGACTAAGAGATGTGGGCCGGAGAGAATGGAGTGGAGCGAGGCGTACTGGGAGCGGTCGTCTGTGGCAGGGAGAAGGAGGCAAGTGGAAGAGGGCAACAATATGGGGGGGGAGTGCGGTGGATGAGCAGATCGTGTGTTAGGTTGATTAGATGTTGAGGGGTGAAGGGGATGGCATGGAGCGAGGCGTATTTGGGACGGTCGTCTGTAGCATGGGAGAGGAGAAAGGTGACGGGGATGACAACAGGAGAGTCTGCGTTGAGTTGAGAATAAGGGGTGTGAGTGAGTATGTTGAGATGAGGCGAATGCCATCTGGTAGTCTGTGAGTGAAGGTGGAAGGGGAGGAAGTGGAACAATGCGTGTGAGGGAGGGAGGTGGTGTGAGTGTGTGTGTGTTTAAGTGGTCCACACTTGAATCCCTGCTTCGAGCCTGTTGCATTGTGCTTGCAGTGCAGGGCACAGGTGATGGTGCGGGAGATGGCATGGAACGGTTTTTGAGGCGCTTCAGAGATGGCATGGATGGTCAAGATGTGCACGGGTGAATCTTCATCGTCAATGCAGACCGCTTGCTGCGTGAGGGAGGTGGCGTCCGGATGTTCAAGAAGGTCATCCTTGAAAATCACTTTTGAAAACTCTCAGGAGTGATTTCCTTCCATGCGTCCGGATGTTCAAGAAGGTCATCCTTGAAAATCACTTTTGAAAACTCTCAGAAGTGATTTCCTTCCATGCGTCCGGATGTTCAAGAAGGTCATCCTTGAAAATCACTTTTGAAAACTCTCAGAAGTGATTTCCTTCCATGCGTCTGGATGTTCAAGTAGGTCATCCTTGAAAATCACTTTTGAAAACTCTCAGAAGTGATTTCCTTCCATGCGTCCGGATGTTCAAGAAGGTCATCCTTGAAAATCACTTTTGAAAACTCTCAGAAGTGATTTCCTTCCAAGCGTCCGGATGTTCAAGAAGGCCATCTCCCTCACGCCGCAAAGGGGAGAAGGCCATTCCTAAATCTCAGCTCACCTTGAATGCACTCCACGCGGAGCGTGAAGGAGATGTTGAGAGCGATGACGTCACCCTCCCTCCACCCCCTCCGCACTCGCAGGAACTTTCCTGGAAGAGACGGGGATTGAGGAATTGCAGAGGGGTCAGAATACAGAAGAAGCAGCAGAAAGCAGGGGCGGCAAGGGGGGTGGCAGAACAAAGACATAGGGGACAACACGGGAAGGGAGTGGTGGGCACAAATTGGTGGGCCAAGAAGGGATGGTAGTGGCAGCACATAGGGCGGCGACGAAAAAAAATATCAAAAAACAAAAAACAAAAAGCAAAACAAAACTTGAGACATGCCAAAACATCTTTATCGTCATGTGCATGGGTGACCCTTGAGTCGACTCAAAAGCCACTTCCCAAAACATCTTCATCGTCACGCACGTTGGTGGGCACAGAAGGGATGGTGATGTCAGCAAATAGGACGGCGATGCAACACATGATTGAAGTGTTGACTGAGGAAGGTGGTACCTGCTCTCAAACAAAGGAAACGGATAGAAAGCTGCAAGCTCGGTTCGACCAACCAACTTGGGTTTGGAAGGTGGTACCTGGCTTGGGGCATGGCAGCCTGGCGCCATTGAGAGTGGCTGCACAGTGTGGGGTGGAACCGGAAGCAGAGGTAGCGGCAGCAGCCCATGAGGGGATGCGGAGAAACACCTCTGCTGCTGCACCGTCTGCTACCGCACTGCCTGCTGTTGCACCGTTTGCTACCACACTGCCTGCTGCTGCCGCCACTCCTGCTTCCTCTACCCCTTCCCCCGTTGCCTGTCCACTCTCCCCCTCCCCTCCCCCTGATGCTGCCCCCTCTGCTTCTGCTCCCTCTGCTCTCCCTGTTGCCGCTCGACCACCCTCCTCGTTCCCCCCCTTCCAAGGAATCACTGCCAGCTGGACCTCCAGGATTGGTCGGATGGAGGAGGGCCACGTGGCAGTCATCTGGAGCGCCAGCTGTGCGGACTGCCACGTCAGCACGCTGGAGACGAACTGGGCCACGTACAGGCGAGGAACGGAGGAGGATCTTGACGTGGCAGAAGAAGACAAGACACGTTGCCCGTCGGTGTTATTCCGCCGGCCGTCCTTGACTGGAGACTCAAAGTAAATAGAATCTCCAAGCTTTGCAAAGGACTCGATGCCTGCATGGGTGTGAGGCAGGAAAAGACAAGAGAGCACACAAATCAAATAAATGAATTGCGCATGAATCAACTCTTCTGTGCCACCCTGCCTATATTGGAGTCACCTTTAACAATTTAGAACAGAACCTTAAAAGAGTCTAATGCAAATCATCTCTCTTATGCCATCCATACAAGCACCACACAGCACCCACACCCACACCCACCCACCACACCCCATCCCACCCCACCCCACACCACCACACCCCACACCACCACAGTGCATGAAACCCATGAAAGCTCCAGCGTAGCCCCTCTCACCCGTGCCGTAGCAGCACCAGAAGGAGTCGAAAGGCGTGCCCCAGCCGTGGTAACCGCGTGCCTTGCTGTTCCCTGGTCCGTGCGGTAGCATGTATGTCATCACTCCTGTAGGAATTGGGGGGGAGGGGAGGGGAAGAGGCAGAGATAAGGTTGCGTCAGGGGAGAACAAGGGTGTCTAAGGCTTGCCCCATCCGTGGTAACCACATGCCTTGCTATTCCCTGCTCCGTACGGTAGCATGTTGTCATCACGTCTATAAAGTGTTTACGAAGTGTCCATGATGCGCACTGAACGTGCCCAGCGCCCCATGCACCATGCACCATGCCCCATGCACCATGCACCATGCCCCATGCACCATGCACCATGCACCATGCACTATGCACCATGCACCATGCCCTATGCACCATGCACCATGCACCATGCACCATGCACCATGCCCCATGCACCATGCACCATGCACCATGCCCTATGCACCATGCACCATGCACCATGCCCTATGCACCATGCACCATGCACCATGCCCCATGCACCATGCACCATGCACCATGCCCTATGCACCATGCACCATGCCTCTGCACCATGCACCATGCACCATGCCCTATGCACCATGCACCATGCACCATGCCCCATGCACCATGCACCATGCCCTATGCACCATGCACCATGCCCTATGCACCATGCACCATGCACCATGCCCCATGCACCATGCCCCATGCACCATGCCCCATGCACCAAGCACCATGCACCATGCCCTATGCACCATGCACCATGCACCATGCAGCATGCCCTACGCACCATCCACCATGCACCATGCACCATGCACCATGCACCATGCCCTATGCCCCATGCACCATGCACCATGCCCTATGCACCATGCACCATGCACCATGCACCATGCCCCATGCACCATGCACCATGCCCTATGCACCATGCACCATGCACCATGCACCATGCCCTATGCACCATGCACCATGCACCATGCCCCATGCACCATGCACCATGCACCATGCCCTATGCACCATGCACCATGCCCCATGCACCATGCACCATGCACCATGCCCTATGCACCATGCACCATGCACCATGCCCTATGCACCATGCACCATGCACCATGCTCTATGCACCACGCACCATGCACCATGCCCTATGCACCATGCACCATGCCCCATGCCCCATGCCCCATGCACCATGCACCATGCCCTATGCACCATGCACCATGCACCAAGCCCTATGCACCATGCACCATGCACTATGCACCATGCACCATGCACCATCCACCATGCACCATGCACCATGCACCATGCCCCATGCACCATGCCCCATGCCCCATGCACCATGCACCATGCACCATACAGCACCATGCACCATGCACCATGCCCTATGCACCATGCACCATGCACCATGCACCATGCCCTATGCACCATGCACCGTGCACCATGCCCCATGCACCATGCACCATGCACCATGCACCATGCCCTATGCACCATGCACCATGCACAATGCCCTATGCACCATGCACCATGCACCATGCCTCTGCACCATGCACCATTCACCATGCCCTATGCACCATGCACCATGCACCATGCACCATGCCCCATGCACCATGCACCATGCCCTATGCACCATGCACCATGCACCATGCCCCATGTACCATGCACCATGCACCATGCACCATGCCCTGTGCACCATGCACCATGCACCATGCACCATGCCCTATGCACCATGCACCATGCCCTATGCACCATGCACCATGCACCATGCACTATGCACCATGCACCATGCCCCATGCAACATGCACTATGCACGATGCACGATGCACCATGCACCATGCACCATGCCCTATGCACCATGCACCATGCACCATGCACCATGCCCTATGCACCATGCACCATGCACCATGCCTCTGCACCATGCACCATGCACCATGCCCTATGCACCATGCACAATGCACCATGCCCCATGCACCATGCACCATGCACCATGCCCCATGCCCTATACACCATGCACCATGCACCATGCACCATGCACCATGCCCTACGCACCATGCACCATGCATGCACCATGCACCATGCCCTATGCACCATGCACCATGCACCATGCACCATGCCCCATGCACCATGCCCCATGCCCCATGCCCCATGCACCATGCACCATACAGCACCATGCACCATGCCCTATGATTATGCACCATGCACCATGCACCATGCCCTATGCACCATGCACCATGCACCATGCCCCATGCACCATGCACCATGCCCTATGCACCATGCACCATGCACCATGCACCATGCCCTATGCACCATGCACCATGCACCATGCCCTATGCACCATGCACCATGCACCATGCACTATGCACCATGCATGCACCATGCACCATGCCCTATGCACCATGCACCATGCACCATGCACCATGCCCCATGCACCATGCCCCATGCCCCATGCCCCATGCACCATGCACCATACAGCACCATGCACCATGCACCATGCCCTATGATTATGCACCATGCACCATGCACCATGCCCTATGCACCATGCACCATGCACCATGCCCAATGCACCATGCACCATGGCCTATGCACCATGCACCATGCACCATGCACCATGCCCCATGCACCATGCCCTATGCACCATGCACCATGCACCATGCCTCTGCACCATGCACCATTCACCATGCCCTATGCACCATGCACCATGCACCATGCACCATGCCCCATGCACCATGCACCATGCCCTATGCACCATGCACCATGCACCATGCCCCATGTACCATGCACCATGCACCATGCACCATGCCCTGTGCACCATGCACCATGCACCATGCACCATGCCCTATGCACCATGCACCATGCCCTATGCACCATGCACCATGCACCATGCACTATGCACCATGCACCATGCCCCATGCAACATGCACTATGCACGATGCACGATGCACCATGCACCATGCACCATGCCCTATGCACCATGCACCATGCACCATGCACCATGCCCTATGCACCATGCACCATGCACCATGCCTCTGCACCATGCACCATGCACCATGCCCTATGCACCATGCACAATGCACCATGCCCCATGCACCATGCACCATGCACCATGCCCCATGCCCTATACACCATGCACCATGCACCATGCACCATGCACCATGCCCTACGCACCATGCACCATGCATGCACCATGCACCATGCCCTATGCACCATGCACCATGCACCATGCACCATGCCCCATGCACCATGCCCCATGCCCCATGCCCCATGCACCATGCACCATACAGCACCATGCACCATGCCCTATGATTATGCACCATGCACCATGCACCATGCCCTATGCACCATGCACCATGCACCATGCCCCATGCACCATGCACCATGCCCTATGCACCATGCACCATGCACCATGCACCATGCCCTATGCACCATGCACCATGCACCATGCCCTATGCACCATGCACCATGCACCATGCACTATGCACCATGCATGCACCATGCACCATGCCCTATGCACCATGCACCATGCACCATGCACCATGCCCCATGCACCATGCCCCATGCCCCATGCCCCATGCACCATGCACCATACAGCACCATGCACCATGCACCATGCCCTATGATTATGCACCATGCACCATGCACCATGCCCTATGCACCATGCACCATGCACCATGCCCAATGCACCATGCACCATGGCCTATGCACCATGCACCATGCACCATGCACCATGCCCCATGCACCATGCACCATGCACCATGCCCTATGCACCATTCACCATGCACCATGCCCTATGCACTATGCACCATGCACCATGCCCCATGCACCATGCCCCATGCACCATGCCCCATGCACCATGCACCATGCCCCATGCACCATGCACCATGCACCATGCCCTATGCACCATGCACCATGCCCCATGCACCATGCACCATGCACCATGCACCATGCCCTATGCACCATGCACCATGCACCATGCACCATGCACCATGCACCATGCACCATGCACTATGCACCATGCATGCACCACGCACCATGCCCTATGCACCATGCACCATGCACCATGCACCATGCCCCATGCACCATGCCCCATGCCCCATGCCCCATGCACCATGCACCATACAGCACCATGCACCATGCACCATGCCCTATGATTATGCACCATGCACCATGCACCATGCCCTATGCACCATGCACCATGCACCATGCCCCATGCACCATGCACCATGCCCTATGCACCATTCACCATGCACCATGCCCTACGCACCATGCACCATGCCCCATGCACCATGCCCCATGCACCATGCACCACGCACCATGCCCTATGCACCATGCACCATGCACCATGCCCCATGCACCATGCACCATGCACCATGCACCATGCACCATGCCCTATGCACCATGCACCATGCACCATGCCCCATGCACCATGCACCATGCACCATGCCCTATGCACCATTCACCATGCACCATGCCCTACGCACCATGCACCATGCACCATGCCCCATGCACCATGCCCCATGCACCATGCCCCATTCACCATGCCCCATGCACCATGCCCCATGCACCATGCACCATGCACCATGCCCTATGCACCATGCACCATGCCCCATGCACCATGCACCATGCCCTATGCACCATGCACCATGCACCATGCACCATGCCCTATGCACCATGCACCATGCACCATGCCCTATGCACCATGCACCATGCACCATGCACTATGCACCATGCACCATGCCCCATGCACCATGCACTATGCACCATGCACCATTCACCATGCACCATGCCCTATGCACCATGCACCATGCACCATGCACCATGCCCTATGCACCATGCACCATGCCTCTGCACCATGCACCATGCACCATGCCCTATGCACCATGCACCATGCACCATGCCCCATGCACCATGCACCATGCCCTATGCACCATTCACCATGCACCATGCCCTACGCACCATGCACCATGCCCCATGCACCATGCCCCATGCACCATGCCCCATGCACCATGCCCCATGCACCATGCACCACGCACCATGCCCTATGCACCATGCACCATGCACCATGCCCCATGCACCATGCACCATGCACCATGCCCTATGCACCATGCACCATGCACCATGCACCATGCCCCATGCACCATGCACCATGCCCTATGCACCATTCACCATGCACCATGCCCTACGCACCATGCACCATGCACCATGCCCCATGCACCATGCCCCATGCACCATGCCCCATGCACCATGAACCATGCACCATGCACCATGCACCATGCACCATGCACCATGCCCTATGCACCATGCACCATGCCCCATGCACCATGCACCATGCACCATGCACCATGCCCTATGCACCATGCACCATGCACCATGCACCATGCCCTATGCACCATGCACCATGCACCATGCCCTATGCACCATGCACCATGCACCATGCACTATGCACCATGCATGCACCATGCACCATGCCCTATGCACCATGCACCATGCACCATGCACCATGCCCCATGCACCATGCCCCATGCCCCATGCCCCATGCACCATGCACCATACAGCACCATGCACCATGCACCATGCCCTATGATTATGCACCATGCACCATGCACCATGCCCTATGCACCATGCACCATGCACCATGCCCCATGCACCATGCACCATGCCCTATGCACCATGCACCATGCACCATGCACCATGCCCCATGCACCATGCACCATGCACCATGCCCTATGCACCATGCACCATGCACCATGCCCCATGCACCATGCACCATGCACCATGCACCATGCACCATGCCCTATGCACCATGCACCATGCACCATGCCCCATGCACCATGCACCATGCCCTATGCACCATGCACCATGCACCATGCACCATGCCCCATGCACCATGCACCATGCACCATGCCCTATGCACCATTCACCATGCACCATGCCCTATGCACCATGCACCATGCACCATGCCCCATGCACCATGCCCCATGCACCATGCCCCATGCACCATGCACCATGCCCCATGCACCATGCACCATGCACCATGCCCTATGCACCATGCACCATGCCCCATGCACCATGCACCATGCACCATGCACCATGCCCTATGCACCATGCACCATGCACCATGCACCATGCACCATGCACCATGCACCATGCACCATGCACCATGCACTATGCACCATGCATGCACCACGCACCATGCCCTATGCACCATGCACCATGCACCATGCCCCATGCACCATGCCCCATGCCCCATGCCCCATGCACCATGCACCATACAGCACCATGCACCATGCCCTATGCACCATTCACCATGCACCATGCCCTACGCACCATGCACCATGCCCCATGCACCATGCCCCATGCACCATGCACCACGCACCATGCCCTATGCACCATGCACCACGCACCATGCCCCATGCACCATGCACCATGCACCATGCACCATGCACCATGCCCTATGCACCATGCACCATGCACCATGCCCCATGCACCATGCACCATGCACCATGCCCTATGCACCATTCACCATGCACCATGCCCTACGCACCATGCACCATGCACCATGCCCCATGCACCATGCCCCATGCACCATGCCCCATGCACCATGCCCCATGCACCATGCCCCATGCACCATGCACCATGCACCATGCCCTATGCACCATGCACCATGCCCCATGCACCATGCACCATGCCCTATGCACCATGCACCATGCACCATGCACCATGCCCTATGCACCATGCACCATGCACCATGCCCTATGCACCATGCACCATGCACCATGCACTATGCACCATGCACCATGCCCCATGCACCATGCACTATGCACCATGCACCATGCACCATGCACCATGCACCATGCCCTATGCACCATGCACCATGCACCATGCCCTATGCACCATGCACCATGCCTCTGCACCATGCACCATGCACCATGCCCTATGCACCATGCACCATGCACCATGCCCCATGCACCATGCACCATGCACCATGCCCCATGCCCTATGCACCATGCACCATGCACCATGCACCATGCCCTATGCACCATGCACCATGCATGCACCATGCACCATGCCCTATGCACCATGCACCATGCCCCATGCACCATGCACCATGCACCATGCACCATGCCCTATGCACCATGCACCATGCACCATGCCCTATGCACCATCCACCATGCACCATGCACCATGCCCTATGCACCATGCACCATGCACCATGCACCATGCCCCATGCCCGATGCACCATGCACTATGCACCATGCCCTATGCACCATGCACCATGCACCATGCACCATGCACCATGCACCATGCCCCATGCACCATGCACCATGCCCCATGCACCATGCACCATGCACCATGCCCTATGCACCATGCACCATGCACCATGCACCATGCCCTATGCACCATGCACCATGCCTCTGCACCATGCACCATGCACCATGCCCTATGCACCATGCACCATGCACCATGCCCCATGCACCATGCACCATGCACCATGCCCCATGCCCTATGCACCATGCACCATGCACCATGCACCATGCCCTATGCACCATGCACCATGCATGCACCATGCACCATGCCCTATGCACCATGCACCATGCCCCATGCACCATGCACCATGCACCATGCACCATGCCCTATGCACCATGCACCATGCACCATGCACCATGCCCTATGCACCATCCACCATGCACCATGCACCATGCCCTATGCACCATGCACCATGCACCATGCCCCATGCCCGATGCACCATGCACTATGCACCATGCCCTATGCACCATGCACCATGCACCATGCACCATGCACCATGCCCCATGCACCATGCACCATGCCCCATGCACCATGCACCATGCACCATGCCCTTTGCACCATGCACCATGCACCATGCACCATGCCCTATGCACCATGCACCATGCCTCTGCACCATGCACCATGCACCATGCCCTATGCACCATGCACCATGCACCATGCCCCATGCACCATGCACCATGCACCATGCCCCATGCCCTATGCACCATGCACCATGCACCATGCACCATGCCCTATGCACCATGCACCATGCATGCACCATGCACCATGCCCTATGCACCATGCACCATGCCCCATGCACCATGCACCATGCACCATGCACCATGCCCTATGCACCATGCACCATGCACCATGCACCATGCCCTATGCACCATTGACCATGCACCATGCACCATGCCCTATGCACCATGCACCATGCACCATGCACCATGCCCCATGCCCGATGCACCATGCACTATGCACCATGCCCTATGCACCATGCACCATGCACCATGCACCATGCACCATGCACCATGCCCCATGCACCATGCACCATGCCCCATGCACCATGCACCATGCATCATGCCCCATGCACCATGGTGAGCGCACTCATATTGCCCTATGGCCCCTCTCTCAGGGCGTATCCCTGGGTGGTGGCAGGACCACTGTAGATGGCAGAGTTGGTGGCATGCGGGAAAACCGCATGCCACCAACATTTTTACCGAGGCGCGCGCGACTCGTATTTGGTGGCATTGAAGTGACATTTTTGTGACATTGCCCAATCACGCACCTGTATTCGCGCGCCAAATTTCCTGACACCAACCTGGCGTTTTATGTGTTCGTGGCAGGCTGCCATCTACAGTGGCCCTGCCACCACCCAGGGATACGCCCTCATATGACCCCTCTCTCATATGACCCCTCTCTCACACTCACCCGGCTGTGTGCCGCGCTGAATGCCCATGACCCCATTCATCATGGCGCGCTCATAGTAGTCCATGAAGCGCACTGAGCGCGTCCAGCGGAAAGCATTGCGCGCCATCTATGAGTGGGTTCATGGTAAAGGGGGGAGAGGGATAGGGAGAAAAGAGGGCGGGTGCACAAGGCTGGGCTAGGTGATAGCTCCTGCGCCAGTAGGGTATCATCAAGCACACAGCATTGACCTGCGTTGACCCACATTGACCTGCGTTGACCCACATTGACCTGCGTTGACCCACATTGACCTGCGTTGACCCACATTGACCTGCGTTGACTCACCTTGAGCATGATGTACGTGGTGCACGATTCCTGGTCCTCCTGTGCCAGTGCTTATGGCATGACCTAACCGCACACCACTCACCTGCATTGACCTGCGTTGACCAGATTGACTTGCCTTCAGCATGTTGTAAGTGGTGCAGGACTCCTGGTCCTCCTGTGCCAGTATATGCCCACTCCGATGCGGCTCCTGCCTGCCCGTGACAGATGAAGAAGAAGAAAGAAAGACAGAATGCCACAGGTGGGAAATCGTGGCACCCACAAGATTCATGTGCTTATCACAAATCATCAAACCCCACCAGACCCCAGCATGACCACACCCAACCGGAGTGAACCACAGCAGACCCCAGCAAACGGCACTCACCAGAACTCGAAGGCGGAGGTGCCTCCAGAGGTGAAGCAGTGCGAGGTGTTGACAATACAGCAGTTTCGAGACATCTCAAAACCTGGTTATCATGTCACCACAGCGCACCCCAGCAAACGGCGCACCCCAGCAAAGAGGTGACTTTTGAGTCGACTCAAAAGTCAAAAGTCACCTCTTTTGAGTCGACTCAAAAGTCAAAAGTCACCTCTTTTGAGTCGACTCAAAAGTCAAAAGTCACCTCTTTTGAGTCAACTCAAAAGTCAAAAGTCACCTCTTTGAGTCGACTCAAAAGTCAAAAGTCACCTCTTTTGAGTCAACTCAAAAGTCAAAAGTCACCTCTTTTGAGTCGACTCAAAAACCACAGCGCACCCCAGCAAACGGCAACACTGACCGGAAACTCCAAGGTAGAGGTGCCTCCAGAGGTGAAGGAGTGTGAGGTGTTGACGAGAGTAAAAAAGTGGTGGGAGAGGTCACCAGGCCCCACCAGATGTGATCCACTACACCACATCACACCTCACCAGACCACAGTAAGCCATACCAGATCTCACACTAGATCACAGCAGCAGATGGCACTGACCAGAACTCGAAGGCAGAGGTGCCTCCAGAGGTGAAGGAGTGCGAGGTGTTGACGAGGGAGAGGAAGTGGTGTGAGAGGTGCTGGCGGGGGGGGAGTTGAGGGGAGGGGATTGGGGGAGTGGTGAGGGAGGTTGAGGCGCCTTAGAAGTTGCCTCCAGAGGTGAAGGAGTGCGAGGTGTTGACGAGGGACTCTGGGAGTGCTGTACATGCCCATTTCATAAACACGTAAGCTTGTTTTTGAGTCGACTTTTTTTTAGTCGACTCAAAAACAGACTCCGGGAGTGCTGTACATGCCCATTTCATAAACATGTAAGCTGTTAAACCAATCGATACCCGATGTTAACTGCTCACAATGATCTATGCTTATTAGAAACTGTTGAATCCGATTCATAAATACCCAATACCCCGTATAAGCTGCTACAACAGGTTCATACCCGGTATAAGCTGCTACAATAGGTTCGTACCCAGTATAAGCTGCTACAATAGGTTCATACCCAGTATAAGCTGCTACAACAGGTTCATACCCGGTATAAGCTGCTACAATAGGTTCATACCCGGTATAAGAAGCTACAACAGGTTCATACCCGGTATTAGCTGCTACAATAGGTTCATATCTGGTATAAGCTGCTACAACAGGTTCATACCCGGTATAAGCTGTCTCCAGTGGCCTCATAGCGCATCTGAGCGCCGATGGCGATGGGGATGTGCGTGTTGGCGTGCAGCCTCCCCTCTCTCTCCCACCCTGCCTCCCTCCCTCCCTCCATACCCGGTAAAGGCTATCCCCAGTGGCCTCGTAGCGCATCTGAGCGCCGATGGCGATGGGGATGTGCGTGTTGGCGTGCAGCCTCCCCTCTCTCTCCCATCCTCCCTCCCTCCCTCCCTCCATACCCGGTAAAGGCTATCCCCAGTGGCCTCGTAGCGCATCTGAGCGCCGATGGCGATGGGGATGTCCGTGTTGGCGTGCAGCCTCCCCTCTCTCTCCCACCCTCCCTCCCTCCCTCCCTCCATACCCGGTAAAGGCTATCCCCAGTGGCCTCATAGCGCATCTGAGCGCCGATGGCGATGGGGATGTGCGTGTTGGCGTGCAGCCCCGGCAGGTCGTCCGCGCCCACCGCTAGTGGACCCAAGAAGCACGGCTTGTCGAATAGATGGGCCAGCTCCAAGTGGTGGGGGTCTCTCTTGTGGGTTGTGGGAAGGGCAGGAAGGGGTTGAGAGTGGCGTGAAGGGGGCTGGTTGCCGTGCAGCCCTGGCAGGTCGTCCGCCCCCACCGCCAAGGGGCCCAGGAAGCACGGCAGAGTCGAGATGCGCCAACTCTAGGTGGTTGGGGTCTTTCTGGGGGGGTTGTGGGAAGTGCGGGAAGAGGAGGGACGTGCAAGAGGAGGGATGTGCAAGAGGAGGGACGTGCAAGAGGAGGGACGTGCAAGAGGAGGGACGTGCAAGAGGAGGGGAGTGCAAGAGGAGGGGAGTGCAAGAGGAGGGGAGTGCAAGAGGAGGGGAGTGCAAGAGGAGGGGAGTGCAAGAGGAGGGGAGTGCAAGAGGAGGGGAGTGCAAGAGGAGGGGAGTGCAAGAGGAGGGGAGTGCAAGAGGAGGGGAGTGCAAGAGGAGGGGAGTGCAAGAGGAGGGGAGTGCAAGAGGAGGGGAGTGCAAGAGGAGGGGAGTGCAAGAGGAGGGGAGTGCAAGAGGAGGGGAGTGCAAGAGGAGGGACGTGCAAGAGGAGGGGAGTGCAAGAGGAGGGAGTGCAAGAGGAGGGGAGTGCAAGAGGAGGGGAGTGCAAGAGGAGGGGAGTGCAAGAGGAGGGGAGTGCAAGAGGAGCGGAGTGCAAGAGGAGGGGAGTGCAAGAGGAGGGGAGTGCAAGAGGAGGGGAGTGCAAGAGGAGGGGAGTGCAAGAGGAGGGGAGTGCAAGAGGAGGGGAGTGCAAGAGGAGGGGAGTGCAAGAGGAGGGGAGTGCAAGAGGAGGGGAGTGCAAGAGGAGGGGAGTGCAAGAGGAGGGGAGTGCAAGAGGAGGGGAGTGCAAGAGGAGGGGAGTGCAAGAGGAGGGGAGTGCAAGAGGAGGGGAGTGCAAGAGGAGGGGAGTGCAAGAGGAGGGGAGTGCAAGAGGAGGGGAGTGCAAGAGGAGGGGAGTGCAAGAGGAGGGGAGTGCAAGAGGAGGGGAGTGCAAGAGGAGGGGAGTGCAAGAGGAGGGGAGTGCAAGAGGAGGGGAGTGCAAGAGGAGGGGAGTGCAAGAGGAGGGGAGTGCAAGAGGAGGGGAGTGCAAGAGGAGGGGAGTGCAAGAGGAGGGGAGTGCAAGAGGAGGGGAGTGCAAGAGGAGGGGAGTGCAAGAGGAGGGGAGTGCAAGAGGAGGGGAGTGCAAGAGGAGGGGAGTGCAAGAGGAGGGGAGTGCAAGAGGAGGGGAGTGCAAGAGGAGGGGAGTGCAAGAGGAGGGGAGTGCAAGAGGAGGGGAGTGCAAGAGGAGGGGAGTGCAAGAGGAGGGGAGTGCAAGAGGAGGGGAGTGCAAGAGGAGGGGAGTGCAAGAGGAGGGGAGTGCAAGAGGAGGGGAGTGCAAGAGGAGGGGAGTGCAAGAGGAGGGGAGTGCAAGAGGAGGGGAGTGCAAGAGGAGGGGAGTGCAAGAGGAGGGGAGTGCAAGAGGAGGGGAGTGCAAGAGGAGGGGAGTGCAAGAGGAGGGGAGTGCAAGAGGAGGGGAGTGCAAGAGGAGGGGAGTGCAAGAGGAGGGGAGTGCAAGAGGAGGGGAGTGCAAGAGGAGGGGAGTGCAAGAGGAGGGGAGTGCAAGAGGAGGGGAGTGCAAGAGGAGGGGAGTGCAGTGCAAGAGGAGGGGAGTGCAAGAGGAGGGGAGTGCAAGAGGAGGGGAGTGCAAGAGGAGGGGAGTGCAAGAGGAGGGGAGTGCAAGAGGAGGGGAGTGCAAGAGGAGGGGAGTGCAAGAGGAGGGGAGTGCAAGAGGAGGGGAGTGCAAGAGGAGGGGAGTGCAAGAGGAGGGGAGTGCAAGAGGAGGGGAGTGCAAGAGGAGGGGAGTGCAAGAGGAGGGGAGTGCAAGAGGAGGGGAGTGCAAGAGGAGGGGAGTGCAAGAGGAGGGGAGTGCAAGAGGAGGGGAGTGCAAGAGGAGGGGAGTGCAAGAGGAGGGGAGTGCAAGAGGAGGGGAGTGCAAGAGGAGGGGAGTGCAAGAGGAGGGAGTGCAAGAGGAGGGGAGTGCAAGAGGAGGGGAGTGCAAGAGGAGGGGAGTGCAAGAGGAGGGGAGTGCAAGAGGAGGGGAGTGCAAGAGGAGGGGAGTGCAAGAGGAGGGGAGTGCAAGAGGAGGGGAGTGCAAGAGGAGGGGAGTGCAAGAGGAGGGGAGTGCAAGAGGAGGGGAGTGCAAGAGGAGGGGAGTGCAAGAGGAGCGGAGTGCAAGAGGAGGGGAGTGCAAGAGGAGGGGAGTGCAAGAGGAGGGGAGTGCAAGAGGAGCGGAGTGCAAGAGGAGCGGAGTGCAAGACACTGCCAACAACGGACCCAAGACTGCTGTGAATGCAATCAGAGAGCGCATAGAGTCCCCATCACTTACAGCCTATGGCGTGCCACGCACGCCATCACTTGCCACGCCACTGTGTGGAGCTCATTGGCTCGCATGCCAGCCATGAAGACTAGGGTGAGCAGCAGTTAGGAAGATACTTGTAGCAAAAGAGAGACAGTGATACTCTCTGTGCGTTGTACCCTGACAGTGATACTCTCTGTGCGTTGTACCCTGACAGTGATACTCTCTGTGCGTTGTACCCTGACAGTGATACTCTCTGTGCGTTGTACCCTGACAGTGATACTCTCTGTGCGTTGTACCCTGACAGTGATACTCTCTGTGCGTTGTACCCTGCTCAAAAGTTGTGTGCAGCTCATTGGCTCGCATGCAGTGAGCACGGCTTACTATCACACACAGCCGCTTTCAGTGCACACAGTCACATACAGTCATCATCACTTATAGGCTCACGCAATGCTTACAGTGATGGCATATAGGCGGTACAGCAGGTCGTTCATGCCTCCAAACTCCTCGTTGAGCGACAGCCAATGGCGCGCCACCGTGTGGCGCTCGATGACTCGCTGCACGCGCCCCCGGAAGTACTCCACCATCCACGTCAGCATGCGCAGCGCCGCCCGGCTGCCGCCCAGCTGGTATTGGTCCAACAGGCCAGCCATGATCTGAGGGGGGAGAGCGGAGGAGAGACAAGGTGGGAGGGCGAAGTGGGAGAGAAGGGGTAAGCGGATCCATCCCATCCAGTGAGATGCCATCCGGATCCATCCCATCCAGTGAGATGCCATCCGGATCCATCCCATCCAGTGAGATGCCATCCGGATCCATCCCATCCAGTGAGATGCCATCCGGATCCATCCCATCCAGTGAGATGCCATCCGGATCCATCCCATCCAGTGAGATGCCATCCGGATCCATCCCATCCAGTGAGATGCCATCCGGATCCATCCCATCCAGTGAGATGCCATCCGGATCCATCCCATCCAGTGAGATGCCATCCGGATCCATCCCACACGTGAAAGAGGAGTGTTTTTGAGACGTCTCAAAAACACTCTTCTTTCACGTGGAGAAGAGGTGATCCCCATCCATCCCAAACCGTGGTGGTGTGATTTCGGATGTATCCCATCCCGGGTGGGGTGATCCGGATCCCATCACTGACAGTGGGTCAGCATGCGTTGGTGTTGGTTCGCTCCAAGCTCGTACAACAGCTGGGAGGACTTTTGCCTCCACACGGTCAAACAACTTACATGCGCCCCCTCCTCTTGCCCACCCCTACCATCTCCCCCCTCCCCCACCCCACCTTATGCACGGTGTAGTAGGGCGCCCACACGGGCTTGATTGCCTCCACACGGTCAAAGAACTCCTCGGGAAACGCAGAGAGGTACCCTGAGCCAATGCGCTGCTGACACGTGTCCAGCTCTCCCACCAGATACTCCATGCGGGCTTTAAGGGTTGTGTTGCCCGTTGACGCCCACGCCAGGGCTGATGCGCTCAGGTAGTGCCCTGGAGCATGTGAAGGGATGTAAAGGGAGAAGGGAAGAGGGAAGACCAACGGATACAGTCCGGTTTGTGTCATTCCCTGCGACTGCTGACACGTGCCCAGCTGCCCTGCCCACACCTAGTCCATACTCCATGCAGGCCTTGAGCGTTGTGTTGCCAGTTAATGCCCACGCCAGGGCTGGTGCACTCAGGTAGTGGCCTGGATGGTTAAGAGGGAAGTGAAAGGAGGAGTGAAGGGAGAGGGGAAGAGAGCGAAGAAACAAAGGGGTACAGTCCGGTTCATGTCATTCTCTGCGACCTGCTGCTGACACATGTGCTGTTGCCCCAGCCACCATGCGTGTACAGTCCAGTTCATGTCATACACTACACGGGCTTTAAGGGTGGTGTTGCCTGTAGATGCCCACACCAGGACTGATGCGCTTCAGTAGTGCCCTGGATGGTTAGAAAGAGTACAGGTCGAGATTTCACGAGACAAGTCGAAAGAGTGCACTCTCACCTCACACGAGACAAGTCGAAAGAGTGCACTCTCGCTCCCCCACCCCCTCCCTCTCCCCACTTCCCCACTCACACACGAAATGCCCCCTCAATTCGCTATGAGGGTTTAGGGTTCCCCCACCGCCCATACAGCTTCCCTTTTGGCTCCTCCCCCCCTGCCGTCTGCCGTCAAGCCATTCACTCATCACCTCCCTCACTCCCTCCCTCGCTCCTTCACTCCCTCAACCCCTCTCTCTCCTAATCCATCTCTCTACCTTCGCTTCCCCCCATTTCCCCCCACTTCCCCCCACTTCCCCCCACTTCCCCCCACTCACCCACGAAGTGTCCCCTCAGTTCACTATTAGGGTTCTCCCATCCCCCATACGGCTTCCCTATTGGCTCCTCTCCCGCCGTCCGCCGGAACGACCACAGCAAGCGGTCGGCGTCGAGCGTCAGGAGGTACTCGAGGTTGGCGCTCTGGGCGGCAAACTGACGCGTGGATGGCGACAGGCGGACGGCATGCAGCGGCAGTGGGGAGAGGAAGTGAGGGTGCTGCCACGTGGGGAGAAGGAGAAGGGGGGAAGGGAGATGGGGGGACAGGGGGAGTACGGGAAAGGGGAAGGGGGAGGGGGAGAAGGAAGAGTGGTAAGGGGGGGAGGAATAGGGGGAAAAGGGGAAGGGGGGATGAGAGGAAAGAATGAACGACCACAGCAGGCGGTCGGCGTCGAGCGTCAGGAGGTACTCGAGGTTGGTGCTCTGGGCGGCAAACTGCCGCGTGGCCGGCGGCAGGCGGACGGCGTGCAGCGGCAGGGGCGAGAGGAAGTGCAGCCGCTGCTATGCACGGGGGGAAGGGGATGGGGGAAAAGGGGGAAAAGGGGAAGGGGGAAAGGGGAAATGTGGAAAGGCCAGCGGCGAGAGGAAGTGCGGGCGCTGCTATGCACGGGGGGACAACTGGAAAGAAGGGAAAGGGGGAGGGGAGGGATGGGGAGAGGGAGTGCGCACGCTGCTATGGACCAGGGGAAGAGGGGGGAGTCCCACCCGCCCACCCTCGCAACCCCCCCCCACCCGCACCCTCTTCTCACCCACTCCCGCATGGCTCGCTGCTTTCCGCTTCCCCCGTTTCCCCCCGCGTCCGCAGCGCCCGCAGTGTCTGCAGCGTCCGCAGCGTCCCCCTCCGCGTCCGCAGCGCCCCTTGCAGCGCCCGCAGTGTCTGCAGCGTCCGCGGAGCGGCGGGAAGTTCTCCCCGCCAGCGCGTCCGCGGCTGCGCGGCTGTCCGCGTGGTGGCTCAGTACGCGCAGGTGCTCGCGCACGGAGGGACTGGGGGAAAAGGCAGGGGGGGAAAGGAAGAGGTGGGAAATGGAATGAGGAGGGAGAGGAGGAAAGGACGGGGGAGCATGATCGAGTGCGGGGGACAAGGGGATGCGGAAGGATTGGGGAGCCGCTGCGCATTGCCAGGTGGAAAGCAAGCATCCGGGAAGAATCTGCCAATCCTTTTCCCGGGCATGTTTGTAACGAACCGCCGCGTTGCAAGCGAAAATGCCTTATCCGTTGAAACCTGGTACCTGAGGTGCTGTCGTGGGGTTGCGAAAGGGCGCGTCCGTCCCTGATACCTGTGGAACATTTTGTCGTTTTTCGCAAGCGCGAGATGTCTCTACCTGTAACGGTGCTAGTACCTGTTAAAAAACTCGTGCGGCTGTGATGGGATGTTGGTGCACTCCCACGCCGCTGCGCGCCGAGCAGGGGAAAGAAGCAGCGCGCACGCGCACGCCCACGCGAACACCCACACGGACACGCGGACGCGGAGCGACACACGCGGCCACAGCGCGGCGCCGAGTGCCGCAACACGCGGTGAGACTATCCGCTGCCCCATCCGACGGCGAATATCTGCGGAAGAACGGCTCGCTGCCGCCATGCTCGCGAATTCGCGCGCAGAGTGTATTTCGAGGTTCGGGTACTTTCCGTGTACTTTCCGGAGCCCAACGAGAATGGCTGCCCTGAGCTGCAGCAGGTTGCAGGCAGGCAGGCCCCCTCGTTACGACCTGCACCCGGATTTTGGAATCAGCGCCTGCGGAATGAAGTTACTCATCTCGCGCGTACGATGCTTTCGCGCCCCAAATCTTTTTCCTGCCACCTCCACAAGCTCCTCACTTCCCTCCTTTCTATTCAAACGTGTTTGCACAATTGCGATTCCAAACCATGACAGCTTGGCGCCTGACAAAACGGTTGACCCTCAATTGACCGTACTGTACCATATTTCAACGTTTTCCGCCTAGCGCAAACCGAATTGAACCCTTTTACAGAGTCGCCGTTCCGAGGTTTCCGTGGTGGTGTTGCCACGGCTTTCCAAATCTCATAATACTGGTCCACCTGGAGCTCCCCACGTCAGAGAAACTATCCACGCTTGTAAGATCCACGAATTTACACGTCACACTCGTACGCTACGTAGAAATTGATTCATTTAGCTGTCAATGACTAATACATAGGGAAACGAGGGAAAACAGCATTATGCCGTTCTTCACTTCTTTCAGACCAATACATATATTGCACCGTTCTACATTGCTGCTCCTGTTGCCTTTTTCAGTAAAAAAAATGGCTGGTGCTTTACGACGTTGCTCAGCGTATTGGGAGGATATGGGTTGCAAGCTGAAGATTTGGTCGAAGCGGGAGAGGCGGCATTCTTGTGTTTATTCCTGGAAAGGATGGCAAGCTGCAAGCAGGAAGAAAAAACATAAGGGGCATGGGGACAATTGGGAAAAATGGGCAACCACAAATCTCGTAAAAGCTGGTGGCATACGGTGGAAACAACATCTGGACGTCTGTTCCTGATCCCGCTGTACAGCTCACCTTTCCACGGACAATGCTAGATTGCGCTTCAGCTGCTGCAACATGTGGCTGGAGTCGTGTAACTGCATACACAAGGAACAGCACACACACGTGTTATTCGGATGCTGCTGTGTTTCATGCCACAGAATGCCATGCGGCATAGCATGGTACATGACATACCATGGTATACAGCAGAGTATGGTGGTACATAGCAGAGTTTGATTCATGTGATGTATTGTATCAAATGGGACATAGCAATGCATGGTGAGGAAAAAAAACGGAACAATCATTGGGAAAGCATCACAGGTCAATAAAAATACACACCTTTTGCAGACGAAGTGCCTCCTTAATCTTCTCAATAAGCACAGTGCTGTGCGCCAGCCGCGCCTCCTGCTCCACCGGCACACTCCACGGTACCGCAGACACCAATAAAGGGGACGACGGCTGCATGGCTACAGGTGGTGATGCCATGGCTGTGAGCACTGACGTGGGTGACACTGACGAGCCGGGTGATTCAAACGACCCTCGTGCTGCCTGCGATGTTTTTGACTCAAACAGGAATGGGGCTTTGACCCCTTTATTGTGAGGCGCTCCATGTGCTTTTAATTTCTGCTTTGATCGTTGTGCCACCCCATGCTGCACGCCCTGCATCAGCAAGGGCTGTGCCTGTGCATCGGCGGTGTCTGCAGCAACAGAAGCATCAGCGCGACCTGCATCCTTGTCGCAACCAGCAGCACCGCTCACGCCACCACTCTTGATGTCTATTCCAAGAACCGTGCCCTCTAGAAAAGCTAAATCTGCTGCAGCAGCACCACCATCAGCAACACTAGCAGCAGCACCATTATCAACGGCAGCAGCATCACTGGGAGAACCAGGAGCGATGGCTGATGGAGCAGGAGCAGCAGGGGCAGCAGGCGTATTAGTGGCTAGTAAGCAGTCAAGCGTCATTGAGAGTGCATCACAGAACTCACTAGCTGGAGCACCACTCGCGCCCATACCCGCATCCCCATCCCCCCTCACGCCCCCATCCCCCCATGCGCCCCCATCCCCCCACCCGGCCCCTTCCCCCCCGCTCCCTCCAACACCGTCCTCCGCTTTCACTGGCGGCGATTCGCCCAGACCCTGCGCCAGCAGCCTGTCCTCCTCATTGACTGCCTCGTTATGCGCTGCGTCCGCTGCTGCTGCTGCTCCGCGCACTTCTGTGCTGCGCGATGCCTTCTTCCGCGGCGAAGTGGCCTGCGGGCTTCCGAGCTTCCGCTTGTGCGGCTCTGGAGCCTGGGAAGGGGAGGAGCGGAGGGGGCGGGCGAAGGGGGCGCGCGAAGGGGAAGAGCGGAAAAGGGGAAGAGGAGAAAGGGAAAGTATCTGGCTTCCGAGTTCCGCTTATGCAGCTTTTGAGGCTGGGGAGGGGGCGCGCGGATGGGGCGGCCGGAGATGTGCGAAACGAGGGACGGGAAGCGAACATTTCGCGCATGCGGGAAGGGAAAAGAGGGAGGAGCATTTGCGCATGGGAACGACAACGACTGAGCTACGAGCAAAATGTCACACGGGAATTTATTCTCCATCCGTCGGGTGTGTAAGCCTAGATTCGGTTGCGCTGCTGAGTTCGTCGCGTTGCTCGCATCGCGCGCCTCGAGGACGCGTCGCCAATAACGCCAAATGCAATGCCGGCGGCCGTGCCCTTTCCGAATGGGCTCGTGTGGTTTTTGCCGCACAATGCGGCGTCTGCGTCGCGCTTTAGCGGTTTCAGAGGCGGTTGCGTCTTGACCGAATGGGGTTGTAGTAAGGCTTTGGTGTTTCTTACGAGTCAAGCACAAGTGCGGATCTTTAGCAAGGGGTTATACCTTGTCGCGCCATCTGCAGCGAATTGCCACGTCTCTAGCCGTCTTGCTCGGCATACACGCGGCCACTAGCAGGTACCTCTGTAACGGAGACAGCTTGCTATCCGCATGCCTGGTTTGGTAGGGAGTGGATCGCAAGGAAGGCAGGGAGGAAAGCCACGGGCGAAAGGTTGAGTAAATCAAAATTACTACTTGGGAACGGGGCTCTTGAAGGAGGGGCTGAGCAGATTTCGGGGAAAGGGGGATCGGGGAAAGCGGCCTGCGTGAGATGTTGGAAAGGATATGCAGAAAGGAGCGCTGAGATACCAAATGTCTCCTTTTCGCGACAAGAGAGGAGTCTGGTGGGCATAAAAGTGTGCGGGATAGCATTTCGCGGGCGAATTTTGCGAACCTCGCCAATGCTCGCTCTAGCTCGCGATCTTCCTCCGGCGACCACGACTGCGACAGCAGCGGGAGATGCAGCAGCTCCGCAATCGGCGCTGAACTCGCCCGGGCACTCCGCGTGCATGTCTCCGCCATGGCAATCGTCCCCGGCGCTGCCGCGGACGCCGTTGCAAAATCTCCTCCCGCTGCGGAAGGGCGCAAGGGGTTTTCCGCGCTCGTGCCGAATTGTGAGGCGGCTCCACGTGCGCTTTCTTGCGCGGTCCCTCGCACCGCGGCGGTCGTTCGCGCGGCGGACCTTGCTCCAGTCTTTTCAGGCGACAATGGCGAGCGGTTCGGCTTGTGCTCTACCGAGAGAGGGCTGGGATGGGGAGAGGGAGTCAGGACGAAGTGAAACGGGGAGCGATTCGCGGCTCGGTCGGGAAGTTCACACGGCGTGAAGGGCGCGGAGAAGCCGTCGACAAGGCACGGACCGCCGTTTGACGGCATCCCGACTCACGACAATATCGAAGCGAAGTATAGAATAGCTGACGAACGTATGCCGCACCTGAGTCCGCTAGACTTTCACATATTTAATTTAATTAAGGCACACCACTAGCGGAAGTCGAGCGCACCGCCGAGGGCCCCAGCAGGTGGCGGGACAGCAAGATTAACAATTCACGAAGCAAATGAGGATGATTTGGAGAGATGCAAGAGCAGCCTTGGGAAGAGCTCTCAGGCTGCTAAACAGACACTGCGAGATTGAAGAAGAGGGGAACGATCGATCTGTCAGCTCCTCCGTCCGTGCGATTTTGTCTAGCAGAGCCACAACCGGTACGTGTGGAAGTAGCTATTGGTCACCTTGTTTCTGCCTTCCCTTGAGATTTGTCCAGCTTTGTTTGAATTGCCTCGAAATTTGTGGCGTTCTGCCCCACCTTGGGGATTGTGTGGGTGCTGGGGGGAACGACGGGGGGGAGGGAGGGGGGGGAAACTGTATTTGCGGGGGGGCACGGGAAGGGAGGAGAAGAGGAGGGGAGGGAGGGGGGCAGATGATGCGAGCGGTGCGGAAGAACCTGGAAGAGAAACTCGATGGCTGCTCCGCGCGCGCGAGAGAGCGCAATAAGGGGGGGAAAAAGAGGGAAGGGGAACGAGTGAGGGGGGGTCCAGCTTGTACATTTACTGTTCGTAAACCCCCTCAGTTACCACATTCTTTGTGGTAGCCCTTTATTGAACGTGTCCAGCGGACACAATCAGCTTCTGTTCGCAAGACGGCACGCCCCATGCACGTACCTAGAGTCGTCTGACTCACGTTACTGGAATCAGCAGGGACGCGAACAAGGGTACAGCACCGCGTCCTGGCCACTACAGTTCGTTTCCCTTGTATCGCTTGCACGATTTCGTCAGTGGTTCGCTCTGCTCGCCAGCGCCCCCTGCGCCCGCACAAAAATTTTCAAGCTATGATTGACGAGGGAAACTGTTACCTCGTTTTCAACGTGGTCAGAGAACTGTTGATTCGTATGGCGGGGAATGTGTCCGCGCTTCTGAAATTACAGGATGGCTGGACTCCACTCACAATGCATTCGTTTCTAGGTACGGTATTTGAACCTCGATACGTGCGTTGGCACGAAAAATCCTGAAATGAACGAACTGGACACGCCCTGAGGGAAGGGCCCTCCTCAGTGAAGGGGAGAAGAAGGGTGCGGTGCGGAAGAAAAATGTCCGCAGCGCCAGCGGAGATTTCAGCATGAAATGCAAACAGTTAGCAACGGACGGTCCGATGTCGACGAAATCCGAAACGGACTGCTTCGATGGAATTCTGCTTCCAGCGAAGGAGGAGGGCTTCCCGAAGGTCATGGTCCCGGGAGCATCGTTCTTGTCGGGGCGGGGAACCAGACAGGATTTGGAGAGTGAACAGCTGTGTCGGATCGGATCAATCCACGTGCAATCCGCGTTTGTTCTGTTCACTCAGTTTCTCAAATTCTGCCCGACCATAAGATGCTACGTGTATTTTAGAAACCACCTCACTGCAATTAAGACCAGACAATCCCTAAGCACCGACTGTAAGGGGACATTGCAATCTGTGAAATCCCTGCAAGAGACCTGGTTCCTCTGTGCTGATGAGCGAGCTATCCGCAACCATCATGATTGAGAGGCACCATAAATATCGTTGGTAAAATCGTAACACCTAGACAAACCGCACTTCCCCTTGCAGCATTGTCGCACACGGACCAACGGCCAGGTCCACTTTCCACCCGTTGCCACGCTGAATCTCCTCAGAATGACGTGTCAATGAGCTGTTCCGAGTAGCAGAACATTTTTGCGTATTGGAAGAACCGTTACTCAATGGATGACTAGATGTGGACTCGAACTATTCCTCAAACTTACATAAAAAAAATAAAATGACCATGCATCCACTTCGCAAATGAACTAAACCTTGTAACCAGCTGACCTTTATTGTCTCTGTCGACCCTAAACGGAGAATTCATGTCAGCCAACAACTGCTCCACACGACTTCTTACCACCGAAGCTCCTTGCTTCCGACTATGCTTCCCCCATCCAGTCACAATGGAAACTCTACCTGACAATTTCCCCGCACTCTTAGTACCATCTCCTTGATCCCATTCCAGTCTCCAACCCCCATATCCCGCATCTCGTGCACCCCCACAGACCAAATCTAAGCCCGTCGAGCCAATGCCACTCCCTGCTGCCTCCAAACTACGGCCGCTGTCCCTTCCCGCTGTCTCATCCATAGTTCTCTCCCACTGGTTCATGATGAGCCAGGCCAGCAGCACCACAGCAGCGGCTTCAGAGTGCAACCCATGCAAGTCAACCAACAATTCAACTCTGTCAGTTGCACTCACACCACTTCTGCTGGTAACCGCAGCGACGCACCTATCGCCATTTGCACGAGAACTACAGCTGCTGCTGCTGCTGCTGCTGCTGTTGCTGGTAACCGCAGCCACATAGCGCCAGAGCAGGGCAGTCAAAGCACGGACCAGTGCTCGGCTGTCCTCACCAGAGAGTGCTCGTAACTGCTGCTGCTGTTGCTGCTGATGCTGCTGCTGGTGCTGCTGCTGCTGAGACGGTGGTTCGGAACGTGTTTGGGGAAGATAGAGAACAATTCTGCATCCTGCAAAACACCCAACTTCTGCTTCTGCACTTGACGAGCTTGCTGCCAGATGTGGTGCCGCCTGCGCTGCCGCCTGTGGTGCCGCCTGCGCTGCCGCCTGTGGTGCCGCCTGCGCTGCCGCCTGTGGTGCCGCCTGTGGTGCCGCCTGTGGTGCCGCCTGTGGTGCCGCCCACGGGACCTCAGCCAACCGTGGGGCGACAGCTGGCTGCAGCGGTGGAACTACAGCTGGCGGCACCATTGGGACGACAGAAGCACCCAGGAGGCGCACTGCCAGGTTCACAGTGGTTGCTGGTGGCGGGGATCGCACAGCTGGTTCTGGTGCCATCGATCCATTGCTGCGTGCCACATCAGCAGTGGTTGACACGTCAGCAGAAAGTGACACGTCAGCAGCCATGTGATGGAGCATGGACGCGACCTGCTGCCACTGCCCTCTCTCCCATGAGGCTCGCAGAAGCAGCTCCCTTCTCCTCCACTCACCCGCACTTCCTCCCCCTCCTCCTCTGGCTGCAACTGATAATGCTGCTGCTGCCTGTGGTGCTCCTGCTCCTGCTTCTACTGCTTCTGCTCGTGGTGCTGCTGCTGTTGCTTGTGTTTCTGCTGGTGCTGCTGTTGATGCCCCTGCTGCTTGTGATGCCCCTGCTCCTGCTTCTACTGCTTCTGCTCGTGGTGCTGCTGCTGTTGCTTGTGTTTCTGCTGGTGCTGCTGTTGATGCCCCTGCTGCTTGTGATGCCCCTGCTCCTGCTTCTACTGCTTCTGCTCGTGGTGCTGCTGCTGTTGCTTGTGTTTCTGCTGGTGCTGCTGTTGATGCCCCTGCTGCTTGTGATGCTCCTGCTCCTGCTGCTGCTGCTGCTTGTGGTTCTGCTGTCGCTGTTGCGTCTGTTACGGGTGCTTTCAACCAGCTCATCACCCCCACCCTCTCCTCCATCTCCGCTCCAACCTCCTCCATCTCCCCCCACCGCTTCTCCCTCGCCAGCGCCACCATCACCGCCTCGCCCGCCTCTCTCGCCGCCACGGCCACCTGACCCCTCCCACCCCGCCATGTGGCAGCTCCCGATTGGAGCACAAAGCGCAGCAGCGCAAGGGCGTCGTCGGGGCGACTGCAGCGGGCGAGGGCGGCTGCAAGCAGCAGCACTGCGTGTGCCTCCCTCTTTAAAGCCCGAGTCGGGATCCTCCTTTCACAGCCCAAGGTGGATTCATCCAAACCCCACATCGCACACAGCAGCATGGCAACTGCCTCGTCGACCACTCCCACTTCTCCAAACGCCTCTATCAGGGCACAACCCGAGGCATAGGAGAGGGGGCGAGACAATTCCTGAGGTGCCTCAAGAATCGCGGCCGCCCCGTCCGCCACTCCCACCTCTCCAAACGCCTCTATCAGTGCACAGCCCGACGCATCGGAGAGGGGGCGAGTGGGAACGGTGATTGTGTGGGAGGGGTGAGAGGAACCAGAAGAGAGACTGGTCAGTGAGAGGCGCTGCTCTTCTACGGTCGATGGCTCCTCTGCTGCTGTCTGTTGCTCTGGTGTGGTCAGTCTTTCTGCCGTTGCCAGCTGATTTGAAGGGATTAACTGCTGTGACATGAGAGCGTTCCAGAGTGGCGGTGCGGGCGACAGAAGCAAGGGAAGCCTGCCCAGAATAGGGAGAGAAACAGAGGCTGACTGCACTGCTGCTGCTGGAACTTCTGCTTTGAGTTCCCTGCTTCTTTTGTCCTTTGTGCCTGAATCAGTAGCCTGCTGAAACACCCCTTGCTGCTTCGTGTTTGAATCAGTGACCTGTGTATGCACTCGCGGCATCTGACCAATCAGCTGCACTCCCCTCTCCACCTGATTCGCTGACACCAGCCCCGCTGCCACACGGGCGTGCAATCGCAGTGCGCCACCTGTCCACCGCTGGCCGCCACATGTCCTCTGCTGACGTGTCATCTCGCGCTCAGGGCTGCTGCCACTGCGAGCAGGAAAATCAGCCTCTTCAGAATCCTCAGACTCTTCAGAATCCTCGGACTCTGATTTTTTTGATATATCCGATGAATCTGATCGCCTGTTATAAGAGCACACGGCTGGCGGGACTGATTCAAAGACCTGGAAATAGAGAGGGAGGAGAAAGGGGGGAGAAAACAGGGAACGACGAGAGGGAATTCTCAACAACAATGAGACTGACTAAAGGCCGAGGGAATACAGAGGGAAAAGAGAGTGGGGACTGGGGAGACAGGGTTGAGAAGGGGGAGATACAAGAGTGAATTCTCAACAACAAAGTGACTGACTCAAGGCCGAGGGAATACAGAGGGAAAAGAGAGTGGGGACTGGGGAGACAGGGTTGAGAAGGGGGAGGGCCGAGGGAATACAGAGGGAAAAGAGAGTGGGGACTGGGGAGACAGGGTTGAGAAGGGGGAGATACAAGAGTGAATTCTCAACAACAATGAGACTGACTAAAGGCCGAGGGAATACAGAGGGAAAATAGAGTGGGGACTGGGGAGACAGGGTTGAGAAGGGGGAGATACAAGAGTGAATTATCAACAACAAAGTGACTGACTCAAGGCCGAGGGAATACAGAGGGAAAAGAGAGTGGGGACTGGGGAGACAGGGTTGAGAAGGGGGAGATACAAGAGTGAATTCTCAACAACAAAGTGACTGACTCAAGGCCGAGGGAATACAGAGGGAAAAGAGAGTGGGGACTGGGGAGACAGGGTTGAGAAGGGGGAGATACAAGAGTGAATTCTCAACAACAATGAGACTGACTCAAGGCCGAGGGAATACAGAGGGAAAATAGAGTGGGGACTGGGGAGACAGGGTTGAGAAGGGGGAGATACAAGAGAGAATTCTCAACAACAAAGTGACTGACTCAAGGCCGAGGGAATACAGAGGGAAAATAGAGTGGGGACTGGGGAGACAGGGTTGAGAAGGGGGAGATACAAGAGTGAATTCTCAACAACAAAGTGACTGACTCAAGGCCGAGGGAATACAGAGGGAAAAGAGAGTGGGGACTGGGGAGACAGGGTTGAGAAGGGGGAGATACAAGAGTGAATTCTCAACAACAAAGTGACTGACTCAAGGCCGAGGGAATACAGAGGGAAAAGAGAGTGGGGACTGGGGAGACAGGGTTGAGAAGGGGGAGATACAAGAGTGAATTCTCAACAACAAAGTGACTGACTCAAGGCCGAGGGAGTACAGAGGGAAAAGAGAGTGGGGACTGGGGAGACAGGGTTGAGAAGGGGGAGATACAAGAGTGAATTCTCAACAACAAAGTGACTGACTCAAGGCCGAGGGAATACAGAGGGAAAAGAGAGTGGGGACTGGGGAGACAGGGTTGAGAAGGGGGAGATACAAGAGTGAATTCTCAACAACAAAGTGACTGACTCAAGGCCGAGGGAATACAGAGGGAAAAGAGAGTGGGGACTGGGGAGACAGGGTTGAGAAGGGGGAGATACAAGAGTGAATTCTCAACAACAAAGTGACTGACTCAAGGCCGAGGGAATACAGAGGGAAAAGAGAGTGGGGACTGGGGAGACAGGGTTGAGAAGGGGGAGATACAAGAGTGAATTATCAACAACAAAGTGACTGACTCAAGGCCGAGGGAATACAGAGGGAAAAGAGAGTGGGGACTGGGGAGACAGGGTTGAGAAGGGGGAGATACAAGAGTGAATTCTCAACAACAATGAGACTGACTCAAGGCCGAGGGGCCACAGCAGGACAAGGGACGGGTTAGGGTGCAGGTACCTGATTTCATATTAAATGGAAAAACCCAGTTCATCAAACAAGTGTTTTGAGCCAACTACACACCCTGATCACGCTGCAGCTCCTGTACAGCGGTATTTACACCACTACTTCTGCTGGTTAGCAGTTCAGTTTTGACAACATATCTTGCACACACCAAACATCTTCGCCACAGCAAGTAACACACGTTTAAGATAGATCTTCTGCTATCAACACAGAACCTTTCAAACCTGAGCTCTCCACAAGGGAAAAAAAACCACTTCTCCCTCCTCCCCCACCCCCACCAAAAGAAAGAAAATAACAAACAAATATTTTGTCTTCTCATTAGACTCACATCTGCTGCCAGTTCGAACTCCTGCAGGCGCCACAGCTCCTCTGCAAGGGATCTCAGGAAACCCGCAGGAAGCTTCTTCAGCCTGCGAAGTTCACCCAGCAGTGCTTTTCCCCGCCTGTTGTCCGATCGGGTGTGAGATCTTGTGTCAGATCTGGCAGCCAATAGCAGCGCGTGCACGCCTCTCGCCACCCGATTGGTCACTGTTCGAGACATGCGCTTGCGGCCGCCCAGCCCAGTGCGCAAGGGGCGGAAGCCAATGTCGCCGGGCGCGCTGGCGGCGGAAGGCGAAGCGCGTGTTGCGGAAGCTGAAGCGGGAGAAGAGGAAAGTGAACCGAGGGTGGCGGAGGCTGTAGGGGGAGCGGCGGAACTTGAAGCGCGGGCGGCGGAAGCTGCGCTCAAACCGTGGCCCATATTGGGGACTGAAAGCACATTTTGACGCGACCTCGTCTGATGCCTGATTGCTCTCGAGCCAGCCTCGATGTTGCCGTGAGTTCCGTGGCTGGCACTGGGCCTCGCGAGAGTTTCACGATTGCTGTGATTTTCGCGGCCGTTACTATTCTCAACGCCATTCTTGGCTGCAGAAATTGCCGAGCAGTTTCCTCCTGGCGGTTCAGGCGCTACCGCTGAACCTAAGAACGTAAACGGCTCTCGGGAAAAACTATCTGAGGTTGGTGGTTCTAATCCCCCGGCCCCTTGCGACAAGTTCTGAGAAACTAATAGCTCAGCGGCAAGATTCGAACGTGGGTCTCCTGGGTCACAGCCCCGTTTGCTCGTCCTGGAATTCCGCGTGTCCGAGCGGCGTCGATCACGGTTAGCGGGTCCGCCGAAACCCTTGGGCTTGCCGGTAGCAAGATCAGAAACCGGCGGACTAGGTCGCTCGCTCCTAACTGCGATTTGTCTTCTCTGGGGAGAGCTTTGCCGTACTGAAAGTTTAGTCCCCGTTTCGGTCGGAATTCGTGACGGACTGACGGAGAAACGAGGCGAATTGACGGAGAGCGGAGGCGAAACCAGGTTCAGCAACGGGGACATGACGGTTGAATCCTACCACATAACTGACAGATTGCCGAGTAACCAAACCAACCTCGACAACTAAACCTAGATGTCGCCGAGCAAAAGGCAGGCAGCCAAACCTAGCTGATGCCGACCATCTCTGAATCATGCCGAGCCGAGCCTACATCGACACCGGTGAGACCCATGTTGTTGGATTGTCAGGCTCCTGGCTATTCCATCCAGACGCGACGCGGAGTATGCGTGTCGCGTTGCTGAATTCCATGATGCTGGACACTCCCAAGCAGGTGGAGTACAGGTGGGGAAGGGCATGAAACAGGGTAAATTACCCGCTGAAACACGTCCTTTATAGTGTACTTCCATCTACAGTTTGGGGCACATCCATCAGTGTCACAGAAACCATCAAGCACTAAACAATCTTGCCACACCTTGACTGTCTAGGGTTATCCTTTTTACAGACCAAGACAGAGCTAAAGTTGTTCCTTAGGGCAAGCCATATGAGTTCAGTTCATTGTGGGGAATCGGATGATGTGCATGTCAGATTGCCTCATTTGCAGATGTTTGTCTTTGCATAGGGTTTTGAACAATATTGAACTCCGTATGACACACCCTTATACATCTATTGAAAGTTCCACACTGCAAAGGTGCTCCTTTGATTGCTGCCTGATTTTCTGTGTCTCTCCTTATAACATCGGCACAACTGGCCTCCTAACGATGGGACATGCTGCTGCTGCCATTGCAAGTGGTAGCAGTCCTGCATATGCTCCACCATGATAGCCTTGGAGTCACTCGCGTTACAATCCCTTTTCTTAGGGTACATTCCTGTGGAGACACTTGTGTCTGAACCCCCGTTTTCCCGGGTCGCGCCTGTAAAATTGCCAAATGTTGTGTCACAAACAACCAATGTGTCGCGACTGTGAGCGACAGTTGGGCACGGCCAGGTGGTCGCTTTCTATTGGTTGCGATGTACAGGATCGGGCCATCATCGTTTTCCCACCGGGCATCCTGGCTAAACACATCATCCAGCAGCGCAGATTGCGCTGGTGCTAGCCACAGTAGAGGAACTTGCAATTTGGTCGAGTCGGGAGGTGTGCACCAACCCACGCACAAAGGCATATACTCAACAACTCTGGCAAGTACAAAAACTCACGCATCAAAGACCCCAATGCACCACTCCTTCTAGCAACCATGGCACAGCCTCGGGAGGTGCCATTTCTCATGCGACTTCTGGTCGCATGGGTGACGTTTAACTACAGCATCTTCCTGGACGCCGTCGCCCAGTCGGTTGGAGGTTTGCTGGAGGCGAACGTCTTCACGGAAGACGAGTCCTCGGCCTCTAGCTCACACGGCTCCAACCGAACAGCCGAGCGGAAGAGAAGGGCAGGGCTTCGCCAGAGGAGGTACCACCTGCTGTTAGAAGACGTGGAAGGCATGGGGGAGGACGAATTCAGAGACTTGTTCCGCATTAACCGCGCCATCCTCGATTACATTGTAGTCGGGATGGCGATCTACATGCAGCCGTACGTGGACAGGTATCTCATCAGCCACGAGGTGGCATGCCTGGTCGCTATCAAATACCTGGCCACTGGCATGTCGTTCGTGGACTTGGCTTCCGTCTTCGGCCTCTCCAAGACCCTGTGCCACATGCTTGTTGACGCTCTGCTCATGCACTTCCCCTCCGTCTTAAAGCAGCAATGGGTCCACTTCCCGACCCGTGACGACCTCGACGAGATGGCGGAGGAGTTCCGCGCCATCAAAGGAGTCCCTGCTGTAGTGGGGGCTATAGACGGCACACACGTGCACATGAAGGGGATGGGGGGGTACAGGCAGGAGTACCACACGCGCAAGTCATGCTACGCCGTCCAGCTGCAGCTCACATGCGACGCGCGCAGAAATCATTTGGGACTATTTGATCGGATACCCGGGCAGTGCACACGATCAGAGGGTGTTCATGAACAACGCGTTACACGAAAGGTTGCACAACGGCGACATAGCGCCATACCAAATAGTGGGAGATGCAGCCTACCCACTGAGGAATTTCTGCCTGAACCCCCTACATGCACCCCGTGAAGGCCTAATGGATAACTGGGAGCAGTGCTTTAACTACTGCCAAAGCGGAACGCGTATGGCAGTAGAGCGCTGCATCGGGGCCTTCAAAGGCCGGTGGCATCTTTTCGCGGGCCGCAATAATTGCAAGCTCTGGCGCATTCTTGCGGGGGTATCTTGTGGCGTCATCTTGCACAATATGTGTGAGACAATGGAGGCCGTTAGGTGCGTCAATGCTTCGTGGGCAAACTTGCCCCGAAATCGGGACCCGTGGTGGACGCATGGCGCAGTCGCTGATTTCAAGAGGGAGCCATGCATCCCGAACACGCAGGCGAATCTGCGAGAAAGGCGCAAGCGGCTGGGCGAGGCTCTGGAGTCGTCTTACCTCACTCGGCGGCGCCGCGAACCCACACCTCCTCGCCCGCATCCGGGTTAGAGGCGTTGTCGCCCGCCTGCCCGCGACGGAGCCAGCCGTCGTCGCCGCCTACGGCGGCGTGAGTTGCGGGCATGTTGTCCGCGTGCCCGGGGAAGCCGGGCTGGGCAGGCAGGTATGGGGCCTGCTGCTGCACGCGTTCGCGTGCAATTCGCGCGTCCTGCTCCATCCATGCGCGGACGAGGCCTTCGAGCTTGTTCATCGTGTCCGAGTGGCAACCCTTGATTGTCTCACACAGCAGCTTGGCGGCGGCCATCGTTGCCGTCTCTGCCACCCGTGGGCGCTTAGAGGTGGGCGTACCCTGCGGAGGTGGAGCTGCACATGCGAGATGCATTGTAATCATTAGAAGCTGGGTGGTGCGAACAATCGTGTTAACAAAAAGAGATATGCGTGAAACAAAATATCCGAGATGCACAGCCAAAAGCAAAACACCCGTTGAAACAACGCAATCTCACCCGTGAAAGTCGGGGTCGAGGTGCAAGGTGCAGATGTGGACGGGACCGCGAACCCGCACGGCACGTTGACGTGTGCGGCGCCACCACCGTCGACGGCGTGCGGGTTGCCGACCACCTTGTTGTTCTGGTAGAGCTCCATGTACGGGTACCACGGGGGCTTGTGCACGGCCCCTTTGCCGCTCGCCCGCTCACCCTTACTAATCTACTTGTACATGTTGACGAGGTTGCGCCACTGCTTCTGCAGCGCATTCACGCTGCGCACCCACCCGGGATTCTCCTACTCGAGGTGGTGTGCGAGGCGGGCCCAGTACTGGGATCCCTGCTTCCCGAGGAGTTTCTCGAGCTCGTCCTTCATGAACCAACGTGCCGCCACGAAGATCGTGCTCTCGCGGGGGGACCACACGCTCTGCTTGACAGGGTGCAGGTTGTGGTTCTTGGCCGAGGCACGCGGAGGCTCCTCGCCCTTCGTGGCAGTCTTGGTTCCGGTCGCGGCAGTAGCACAGGAGTGAGGGGGAGACAGGGTAGCAGGCTGGGCCTCCTCGGGCGCGTCATTTGTCAGAATGTTATCTTATGCTCTAGCCTGTAGTGGGGTGCTCTATAGCGAGTACAACCCTTCTAGGGTTTGCTATTTGTATCCTCATTCTTGCTAGTGCAACCCTCTTCTCTCTTTTAATTTTCAAATGCTATCAGAGCAGGTCGATCCCCTTGGATCGATCCTGTGGGTGGGCTTACCACCTCCTTGCTTCCGCTGCAACTACTACCACTACTCTCTGAGCCGCACGCCCCGTGGCGTGCGGCAGTTTTTCTTCCCGCCGTGTGCCCCGAGGCGCGCGGCGGTTTTCTGCTCGCCGTGCGCCCCGAGGCGCGCGGCGGGCTTCTGCCCCGTCGTTCGGTGCGTCGCCCTTTAGAGGCGCCGCGACGGGCGACGGGGACCCGCGCGTCGCCCCCCGTCGCCCGTCGTGGCCTCCGCGCGGCCCGTACAGGCAGCGCGCGGCCCGTACGGGCTGCGCCAGGCCCGCGCGCGGCCCGTACGGGCTGCGCCAGGCCCGCGCGCGGCCCGTACGGGCTGCGCCAGGCCCGCGCGCGACCCGTATGGGCGGCGCCAGGCCCGCGCGCGGCCCGTATGGACGACGCCAAGCCCGCGCGCGGCTCGGGCATCTGTACCAAGCCCGTGGTGGGCCCGTTCCTCGCTGCCGCTGCCCTCCCCGCTGTCCCCTAGTGCTTTTACTGGCGCCCCACCCCTCCTACTCCCCATTCTCCTGAATTAGGGTTTGGGGGTGAGGGGTATGGGGGTGACTTCACTCTGTACTGTTCCCTGCTCCTCCTCCTCCTCCGTCTCCTTGTGTTGCAGCTGCCGCTGAAGGGGGGTGGACGTGTTGAAGCCGGTGGAGTGGTACTAAGGGGGGGTGAAGGGGGAGTGGAGCTAGCGGTGTAGCAGCGGGTGTGTGCCGGGGGGGAGTGGGATAGTTTGGGGAAGCTGAATGGAGGTTGCCGACGTGTCGCTTGCAGCACCTGTAGTCCGGGGAGTTGCTCCGGTAGCCCAGTCGTAGCCAGCCGTGCCAGCCGCCCGTGGGTCCGTTGCTCGTCTGCCGCTACTTTAGCCGCGGGGCCAGTTACTCCAGTATTCCGTAGCGTTGTTTCGGTAGCCGCTGTGCCAATGTGCCTCCTGTTGCCCATGTGTCTGCAGCTTCATCCGTCGCCTCCTATCTCCTCTTCTCTCACTCTCTCTCCTCCTCCTCACTTGCCCATTGTGACTACCACTAGCTTTGCTCATAATTGTGAACTTTAACTATTGTTTCTTGAACTTGTGCTCAGAATGTGTGGTGACATTGTGATCCACCCTGAGCTTGTACTGCTTTGCTTGCTCTGCTGATTACACCCCACTTTGGCTATGGGGGTGTGTCAGAATGTTATCTTATGCTCTAGCCTGTAGTGGGGTGCTCTATAGCGAGTACAACCCTTCTAGGGTTTGCTATTTGTATCCTCATTCTTGCTAGTGCAACCCTCTTCTCTCTTTTAATTTTCACATCCTTGTCGTCGTCAGCGTCCTCATCGGCGTCGTCTTCATCTTCGGAAGGGGACATGCCTTTGTCCTCCTCCTCGCCAGAGTCCGCATCGTCGTCGCAGTCGTTGTAGTCGGAGTCTTCGGCGTCGTCATCGAAGGCGTCGTCGTCAACGACGCGGGATGATGCAACACGGTCGGCATCACGGCGCCCACGGGTAGGGACATTGCGCGGGGCTTCGAAAGAGGTGTCCCCTGCACTCGGGGCCCCATCGGGCAAAGGGCCGGCGGGCTTACGGCCGGAAGCGATCTGCTTGTTCATCCAAGCGATGTACGGGATCTCGTTGAGATCCCGCGGGCACAGCTCGGCATTACTAGCTACGCTCTTGCGCTTACGGGCCATGGCTACGGCGTGGAAGAAAATGCAAGAAACACGAAGTAGAGAGCTGGGGTTTGGAGTACAGGAATAGATTGGAACGGGAGGGACCTATCACCCTGGCTGGAACAGTTTGCGCAGCAGGGCAGGGATGTGACAGTGTGGTTACATCCACCACTCAGCTGACAGCCCGGGCAGAGCGGTTTCCTTTCCCGCCCGAAAATTGCCCATTTCGGGCGTCCAGGTGCATGCTGTACAGTGTGACATTTCGACACGCGTGCGATTTTCAGGAGGTGACGGGGCCTCGTGTAACTCGTCCGCAACACCCGCGCAATTCACGCCAACCAATGTAAAATATAGTGAGGATCGCACTAGTGCGGTCCGCGTTTGTGACACAGTACGTTATATGCATTTTTTGCGAGTCACAAAGTGTTTCAGACACAAGTGCCTCCACAGGAATGTACCCTTGAATTCAATCCCATGAATGACAGTCACACCGAGTCCAAGCGCTCAACTCATCCCACAACCCCATCCTCATCCTTCAGGAAGCAATACGAATCCTCTACCCAATCGCGTGACGCCACGCGTACAGGTGCTGCTACCGCCTCTGGACTCCAAGTTACAACCGGTGGTAACGGTGCTGCTGACACAACCCCTCCTGGGGCTGATACCACAACTGGAGGTGCAGTAACCGCCTGCGGGGAACTGGGAGGTGCAGAACCGGCCTGTGGGAAGGGCACAGTCAGTCCTAAAGAGCTCTCCTGAGGAACAAAGGTACCACCATAAGAAGAAGCTTCGCTATAGTCACACTCGCTTCCTCCACCCCTCAAATCTCTGATTCCTTCACCCATTGATCTGCACCGTCGAAACGGCCTTCTGGGTGTACTGGATTTTGGAGACGCATCTACAGTGGCACCCCTAAACCCACCCTCTTCCCCTCCTCCAGAATTAGCCTCCGTCCCATAGGCAGCTGGTGCAGTTTCAGGCGTCCCAAAGGCAGTGTTACCCGCAAATCCGTTAAGTGAGTGCCCTCCCTTGGGCAGCGGCAACTCAAAGCTGCTGCAAGAGCTTCTACCAGGTCCCTTGCCGGATGGGGAACACATGGCGGGTTTATGAGGCGCCTCTAGAAGTAAAAGAGTGCTCCTGCTGGGTCCCTTGCTGGATGGCGAACGCATGGGCGGCCGATGCGGCATAGGTGGAACCAAAACGCAAACGGAAGCGCGAATGGAAGAGATAGGGGAAGACGAATTGAAGCTCTGTGATTTGGGGAATCTCGAGTGTGCTGATGGGTTCGGCGCGGTTGGGTGCTGTGCGGTTGAGAGCGGCAGTGTCGTTCTTCCAGCAGCTACTCTGGGAGAAAAGGGAGGCAGGTGGGGCGAGCGGGGCGAGCGGAGGCGTGATTGCAGCGAGGGGGAGCGGCGGAGCGCGGATGGGGAGGGGGGAAGGAGGGGCGCGGACGGGGAAGGGAGGGCGTGATGGAGAGGGGAAGGCGAGTGGTGGAGAGGGAAGGGCGAGTAGTGGTGGAAGGAGGGGATGTTGAACTCATCAATCTGCTCCAGTCTCATCCATTCCACGTCCCCTGAATGCAGGCTGCGCGTCCTCCTGTGAGACCTCGGCAGCAGCCGCTGCGGCTGCTGCTGCTGGTCCTGTGGGTGCGGCACGGCTAGGTGCAGCGCAGTTGGGTGCGGCGCGGTTGGTTGCGGCACCGAGGGTTGTCGAGCAGCAGCGGCTCTGGGAGAAACGGGAAGCAGGCGAGACGAGCGGGGGGAGCGCCGCAAGCAGAGGGGAGGGTGGAGCGAGGGCGAGAGGAAAGGCTCGGATGGGGAGGAGGAGAGGAGGCGCGTGGACGGCGATGAGTGGGCGTGAGAGAGCACAGAATCCTCCCCGCTCTGCTGCTGCAACGAGGGGATGGTGAACTCGCCGATCTGCTCCAGTCTCATCCACTCCATGTCGCCCGCATGCAGGCTGCGCGTCCGCCTGTGCGCTCTCAACAGCTGCTGTTGCTGCTGCTGCTGCTGCTGCTGCTGCTCTTGTGAGTGCAGCACGGTTAGGTACGGCACGGTTGGGTGCTCCAGCCGGACCTTCTCCATGTCGCCTGCATGAAGGCTGTGTGTCCGCCTGTGCGCCCTAGGCAACAGCTGCCTCTCCTGCTGCCGCTCCTGCTCCCAACCCTGCTGCCGAACCTGCCATTCCTGCTCTTCCTCCTGCAGCAGCTGCTGGTCCTGTGAGTGCGGGTCTCCCCCGCGCCCCTCGCCCCCTCCCCGCCCCTCGCCCCCTCCGCGTGCGGCCCTCTCCGCGGACGCGACGCGCAGGCGGTGCTGCGCGAAGGACGGCACGCTCACCACCCACGCGGCGCCGCCAGCAGACCGCGGGGACGGGGGGGGTAGATCCGCGGGGGCGTGCGCGGAGGGGGTAAACGGGCCTGCGCTAGCTGCCCCTGCTACACCTGCTGCCCCTGCTACACCTGCTACAAATGTTTCATGCGCTACAGGTGGTAGCATCTCTAGACTACCCACACGTCGCATGCTACCAGTCGTTACGTGTCCACCATTCCCCCTCGTTTCCCCCCCAAAACCTCCCCCCGCATTCCCCCCGGGAAACCCCTGTTCGCTTTCCCGCGGGCTGTGCAGCGACCGCGTGCGCCGCAGATCGCGGGGGAGGCTCCGCCAGAGGATCGCGAAGTCTCCGCCGCCCCCATCAGCAAGAGTTTCCCCCAGCCGCGCATTTTCTCCGCCGATCACCGCATTCCCTCCGCCCATTGGCGCATTTCCTCCGCCCATCGGCGCGCTCCCCCCCCACGCAAGTGCGTCGTACCCGCTGCAGCTAGATGCTGACGTCACACTCTCGCAATCCGTGTCACGATCCGTGTGCTGGATGATCAGCGACTCGCTATAAGCACCTTCAGTATAAGCCGCAGTGCTGCTGCTAACCACACTACCAGCCGCGCCAGCAATGCTGCTACTGTACGAAACGCGCCGCTCTATATCCTCCCTCTCCGCATCTCCGCGCTCCGAAACGCTTTCCCCCGCCCCGTCCGCCACGCCCCACCCTCCGCTGCTCCACGGCCGTTCACTAGCCGCCGAAAAGCTCGTCCCCTGTTCAAATATAGAGCGGAGCCTGTCTCCGTTGTAAGCTGCTCCGTTATTCGTGTCAGCCGACGCCGCTGTATCGCCAAATTCGCACAGCTCGTTTCCTTCGGGCAACGCGCCGCTTACTCCCCGTCGCGCTGATGCACCCATGTACGTCAGGCCGAACAGCGGAGATTTCGGGCGGGAAAGCGGCGCGGCGGAGCGCCAACGGCTGAAGATTCCGCTTGGCGCCGTGCGCGGACGGGCGGAAAACCCGCGCGACGGTTCCTCTGCCGTCGCATCCCCCGGACGAACCGCGGAAAGTCCCGCGCGTTCCCGCGCGGATGCTGCCGCGATACCTGACTCCGACGCGCGAGCTGACGTGTCACGGTTCAGCTCCGAGCTGACGTCAGCAACGCGCTGGCTTTGCGATGATTGGACAACGCTTTGGGACCGGGGCGCCGGAAAGCCGAAGGTCGCAGAATCGCCGCGTTTCTTGCGGAGGCTGTTGCGCGCTGACGACGGCGCCCACTGCAGCAGCATGCGCGCAAACCCGCTGGCGGAACCCAGCGGAGACAGTTTCGGCGCGCGGGCGGACGGGCCCGCTCCTTCCGCATTCCGCGCTTTGCTCTTCTCCCTTCTCCCAGCGCGACTTGAATCGGACGGCGACGCGTGGACCTCCCACATGCGGTCAACCTCTATGGAGTTGCCACGTGGCATGGGAAAGGGAGAAGCTTGCACGGAGAGCGGCCGCGTCGCGGCATCATGGCTCGCTCGGTCGCACGGGTCGTCGCACGGCGTGTCGTCGCGCGGAGTGTCGTCGCACCGCGTGTCGTCGCATGCGTCGTTGTCCTCGTCAGCGGGGATGACGATTAGAATGGCTGGAAAGCCGCGAGAGCTTGCGGAAAGGGAGCGATGGCGGAGCCCAGTCGGCGCGGTTGGCTCCGCGTTCGGCGGACCCTGCGCCATGGCTGTCCGCTCGCCGCTCATTGCGCTACCTAATGATTGCGAACGTCTGGACAGCTTACGCGGTTCGTCCATTGACGGCTGGTTTACTGAAGGCTGGTCGATTGAGGGCCCCGTGAGATACGCTACCGTCATGACTAGGCGTTGGTTGCTGTCCATAAAGATTCTGGGATTATCGAGAGATGATTACCCGGTTCTACGTAGAACAGACACACAGCAATCCGACATCCAGTCCGTTTCAGCAATCTACAACGACGAATCCTTCATCGACGGCAAATCGCGGGACAGAAATGTATGGGATGCGAGAAGCACGGCTGGCGGAAAGTAGAACCACGAAATGAAGTTTCGGCTTCACCACACCATCATACACGTAGCTGTAGTGACTGGATGAATGCAGCGCAGGGAACATGGTGCGGTGCACATTCGTCGTCATGCTTGGGAGATGGGGGAAGAAGAGGCTGAGTTGAGACGCTCATTATGCCGTTACGAACGGAATCATTCCATTCCATCTACACATGATGCCAGGTTTGAGCCACTCCCGGTAGCCTTGTGAAGGGGGCGCTTAAGCTGTTCTTGTATATCGCATAACTTTCGTCAATTCGCGACTAGCAAAAAAGGTATCGTAAGGTGCCTATAAAATAATTTTAACTTACCCGTTGAAATTTTGACTTCAGTCATTTCGTTACCATTGGTGCAGAACCACATGAAGTGCCTGTAACATGCGTGCAATTGGCTGGGGAAAAAAAACACGGGTGCAGAGTTTCCATCGGGTACGGGGCAAATTCGCGTGCAGGGGGTGAGCATCATGTGTATGCAATTGTGTGACAAGTCCCCTCATAGTGGTTGGGGGGTGTGCTCGAGCCGCCAGCGAACTGTACCAGCTTTAACCGTTTAAGCCTTTTTGCGGTTGCCCCACCGCACCTGCACTTAGTGCAGTGTAATGTAAAGTCGAGCTGGAAATGGGTTGGGGAGTCGGGTGGAAGGGGAGAAGCGGAATTACAGACTGCTTTAAAAGCGGTTTGAATCGGTTTAGAGTAACCTGCTTGTTGCTGTTGATGGTTAGGGCGTGTCCGAAGTGAATACATTGAAGAATGTCGCAAGATGTTGGTAAATTTCAACCCTCGGATCGAGAATTTCAACCGTCGCGATTTACCGGCATCCCCAAAACGGATGTCGACGGATGTCGACGTTCACTTCGGACACTCCCTCAGATCTGGTTCGATGCTTACGACAAACCAGCATAGATGATGGCGAACAATGCTGAAACGAGGATGCGATGCGTTTGAGGTGAAAGCCGCTAAGAGACAGAAAGTTCCGCTTGACATTGACCATTGACCGCGGTGGTCACCACTATAGATAAAAATATCACTGGCCAGTTCTGGACGGGATCTGACCAGTGCCATGCAGCGACGAAAGCGAAGACGCCAACAGAGAATCAGGACTCGTTGACCCCACAGGTCCTCGATAATGTCATGCTGATATATCACTTCCGGGTGGTCACATCATTCTCTGTGGTGTATCCACACTTTCCAGACTTTCATTCGCTGTCAATTATTTTCATGCATAGAGTTTGGTGTATGTGCTATAAAAACACAGTCTGTCAATGTGGTAAGAATTCAATATCAGTAACTTGGATGGGAAACTGGATGTTACCGTATGGCAAAGAATATATTTTCACCTCAAAAGCCTACACACAGCACTGCAGCCTACACAGCACGGCACTGCTCTGCAGCATGCACAAAATATACAAATATACACTACACTATTCAGCTCTGCACATTATGTAATGGCCTTCAATCTTACAGGCGGCTGAAAAGAAACTTCAAACTCCCTGTAGCAGGCCACCATAACCCTGTGGATGCATGTACACACAACCAGCCCAGCAAATGTCAGAGCCATCAAATCAGAAGAAACCACAGTACCAGGAAACCAATAACCAGAAGTAACCAGTACCATCCCATTTTCCCGTTCTCCATTCCCATCCCCTCGTTATAGTCACCTCACGCGCCTGGCTCCATGACTGGACGTGCTGCCTCCTCCACTGTTTCCGCTGTCCCCACTGCTGCCACCTTTCCCCCTGGCCCAGACACCATTGCACTAGCCTCCCCCTCCCCTGCTGCAGACACAGGCATCCCTGCTGCTGCCTGATGCCTTGCCACGCCCCCAGCCCCACCAACATAACCACCAGTACCAGCAGCACTGCTAACACTACCAACACCAGTAGCAGAGGCTCGCTCAGTGTGTGCGTGGTCACCCCCTGCTCCCCCACCAATGAGCCCTCCAGTGAGCGTGCTCACAGCACCCACAGCCGTCCTCTCGGCTCCTTCCAGCACCGACAGCACCGCATGCCTGCCCTTCTCTGCAGCACTCTCCTCCTCCCTTCGCCCTGCCATCCCTCCGGGTGTGGTACTCTCTCTCAACTCACCCATGCGCTCACCCACCCTCTTGCCCATTGCCTCACCCGTTCCTTCCACCTCGCCCTCACCAGGAGCCCCTCCCAGCCCCACCAGGTGCTTTGCCCGCTCCACCAGCCCTGTCACGCCCCCACTCACCCCTTCATAACCTGCTGCTACTCCCTGCCTCGTCCCTTCATACCCACTCTGCACACCCTGCTTTGCTCCCCCATACCCTGCCGCCAGGCCCTCCCCTGCATACTCAAGACCGCTCCCCACCCCTTCAACCCCCTGCTGCACTCCTCTCTGCCCCATCCCCAGCGCACTCCCCCCTGCCCCCACCACCGCTCCCCCCACAGCTTTGGTAACTCCCAGAGCTGACTCAGCAGCGTGCTTTGCCACGTCAGCAGTACCACCCACTACACTCTGCACCGCCCCTACTGCACTGCCCAGAATTCCTTTGCTCCCCTCAGTAGGCTTACCAGAAACTTCCTCCCCCATTTCCACCTCTCCCCCTATAACTCCGCTTCCCCCTCCCCCCATGCCTTCCCCCACGCCTTTCCCCATACCTTCCCCCTTCCTTCCGCCCTGCACCAATCCCTGCATCGTCGTCCCCATTCCCTCCCCACCCTCCCTCCCCCTCGTTTCCTCCCCAACCCCATGCCCCTTCCCTCCAATCAGCCCCCCAGTCAGCACCCCGGCCACATGACTCACTGTCCCCTCCACCCACTCCTCTGCACCGTGCAGCACGGCATACGCCTGCTTCCTTCCTCTCTCCCTCGCACTCTCCTCCTCCCTCTCTCTCTCCATCTGCTCCATCCTCTCCCTCATCTCCTTCCCTTCAGCAGTCAGCCCCCCACCTTCCATCATCCCACCTCGCTCCCCTCCCAGCACCAAGTGTTTCACTTGCTCCCCCACACCTTTCACTGTACCCATAACGCCCTCCCTCCCGCCCTCTCCCCTACCCATCCCCTCCATCCCACCCTCTCCCATGCCCACTCCCTCCCTCCCCATTTCACCCTGCACAACTCCCCCTTTCCCACCCAGTCCAGTCATTCGCCTTACACCCTGCATCACTCCTCCAACTGTGCCCTCCACCGCTCCATACCCCCTCCCTGCCACCTCCTCCCCCATCCCCACCATCTTCCCAACCACGCCTCTCGCTGTATCCGTTGTTGTTCCCACCACCCTCCCAGCAGTTTCAGTTGTCGTTCCCACAGCCCTGCTTGCAATATCTCCTGCCGTTTGTGCAGCACCTCTCGCCGTGTCAGTTGTGGTCCCCACGGTGCGCCGTGCCACATCAGCAACACCCGTCACAAGCCCTGCCCCAGGGATTCTCCCTGCATACCCCCCAGACTCCACACCCTGCATTTCACTCCCTCCCTCCGTGCCACTCCCGCCCGTCCCTGCCATTCGTGCTCCCACTCCTGTCACACGCCCCGTCCCCCCTACAATCCCCTCCAGAGCGCTTTTCACGCGCTCCTTCCCTGCTTCATATGCCGATGCCTCCCGCTGAGCACGCTCCTCAACCGTTGCGCGCCCCATCACACCACTCACGCCCGTTCCGCGCCCCATCACACCACTCACGCCCGTTCCTACACCCGCTCCACTCGCCCCACCAGGGAGGATGGGCACAACGAGGTGCTTTGCCTGCTGCACCGCTCCCCCTGCCAGCTGCTGCCCTGTCTGCAGCCCTGCTTGTGCCACGTCCATCGCCTGGTGATACCTGGTAGGAGAAACAGAGGAAAGGAGGGGCCAGACTAGACTACATGAAAGGACTGGAGGAAGGCCAGAAATGGAAAGTGGCAGGGGCAGAAGAATATCTATTAATAGCCATGGAAACTCTTCTGCGAATTATGGTTCAGGAGAACATTTAGTGATAGCAAATTAGGTCCAGTTACTTACCCTTGCTGCAAGCTGCCCACCACTCCTCCTTCCGAAGGCCCCTGACCCTGCATGGATTCAGGCACAACACAACCAACCAAACAAGCCCAGACATTTGGTGTTCAGAGATGTAAAATGGAAACGCCACAAAGGTTAGAAAGTGTGAAACTGACTAACAACTGCCGCAACAACTCAAAAACATGAGCCATAGGTCACCGAATCACACCTGCATGCCAGTGCTGGTCATCTCCCCTGCTTCTGCTCCTGTCTCCCGTCCTGTTCCTCCTGCAATCCCGCCAAGGGTTCGTTTCACATACTCCTTTCCCGCCTCATACGCCGTGCCTCCTCCCCCCTCACCCCCAACACCCACGCCACCACCAACGCCAGCACCAGCAGGTGCACGGATTCGCACTCCCGGACGTTGCCCATAGGTTGTAGATGACTCAAGGCCTGGGATTACAGGAGCAGCAAGGTGCCTTGCTCGCTCTACTGCTCCACCTGCTACCTGCTGCCCTGTCTGCAGCCCTGCTTGCGCTGCCTGCTTCGCCTGGCGATACCTGGTGGAGGGGGAGAGGAGGAGGGAGGGAGGGAGGGAGAGGCAAATAGGTTTTAATGGGAGCAGCGAGGTGCTTCCCCTGCTTGGCCTGGCGATACCTGGTGTGGGCAGTGTGGGGATGAGGAAACGCCAGTATGTTAGTATACATATGTGGGGGGGGGGGGAGGGGAAACTAAGGGAATCCCAAAGTAAGAAGAGAATCCCGAAGCAAGAAGAAAATCCCGAAGTAAGAAGAGAATCCCAAAGTAAGAAGAGAATCCCGAAGTAAGAAGAGAATCCCAAAGTAAGAAGAGAATCCCAAAGTAAGAAGAGAATCCCAAAGTAAGAAGAGAATCCCAAAGTAAGAAGAGAATCCCAAAGTAAGAAGAGAATCCCAAAGTAAGAAGAGAATCCCAAAGTAAGAAGAGAATCCCAAAGTAAGAAGAGAATCCCAAAGTAAGACGAGAATCCCAAAGTAAGAAGAGAATCCCAAAGTAAGACGAGAATCCCAAAGTAAGAAGAGAATCCCTAAGTAAGAAGAGAATCCCAAAGTAAGAAGAGAATCCCAAAGTAAGAAGAGAATCCCAAAGTAAGAAGAGAATCCCAAAGTAAGAAGAGAATCCCAAAGTAAGAAGAGAATCCCAAAGTAAGAAGAGAATCCCAAAGTAAGAAGAGAATCCCAAAGTAAGTCCTGATTTGCACACAACACTTTTTCAACAGTCAGGTCTGAAGCACAGAAGGAGGGTGACAAGAAGCGTTCCCTTACCCAGCAGCAAGCGTTCCCTTACCCAGCAGCAAGCGTTCCCTTACCCAGCAGCAAGCGTTCCCTTACCCAGCAGCAAGCGTTCCCTTACCCAGCAGCAAGCGTTCCCTTACCTTACCCAGCAGCAAGCGTTCCCTTACCCAGCAGCAAGCGTTCCCTTACCCAGCAGCAAGCGTTCCCTTACCCAGCAGCAAGCGTTCCTGTGACTCCCTCCATAGCACCACCTTCCCCCACCCCTGCACCTCTCCCTGCTCCTTCCTCCACCTCCCCCTCTTCCTCCTCCTCCTCCTCGCCCTCCTCCTCCACAGCACCCATCCACTTGCGATACGCTTGCCGAATCACCTGACTAGCAACCGAGCCCGCCTCCTTAGCCTGCTGCATCCCCACCTGCCCCGCTTCCTGCACCACTTCCATCGCCTTTTCCCCCAGCTCCTTCCCTTTCTCCGGCACACGTCCCACCACCTCCCCTGCTTGACCCGCCATCTCCCCGGCTTGCTGCCTCGTGATCTCCGCCCCCTCCTGAGCTGCTTCATAGCCTTTCTGCGGGAGGGTGTCTTTCCCTTCGGTTGCAATCATTTCTGGGCGGCCGGATTGACGGAGCTCTTGCTCTTTAGCCCGCATTTCACGCTCGGCCTGCTCTCCTCGCTCTCCCGCCCCTCCCCACCCACTCTCACCGCTTCCAACCCCTCCTCCAGCGCCCATCATACCAACCCCACCGCCACTCTCCCCACCAGTACTAACACCAGCACCACCACGGGAACCCAAGCCAGCTATTCCCCTCACTTGCCCTTCCACCTGCCCCAGACCTCCCTTCACAGCCTCCTTGCCCCTCCCGTATGCCTCCTGCTCCTGCCCCTTCTCACCAGTTCCTCCCATTCCACTCACGCCACCTTTCCCTGCACTCACCCCACCTCTCCCCTCCTCTTCACTCGCACCAGGCCTTCCCACCCCAGTCACCCACCGCCCAGCAGATTCAGCAGTCCTAACACCACTCCCAACCATCCCTCTCACTCCCTCTTCCACCCTTTCTCCCACACTCCTCGCAGTCTCCCTCCCCCTCTCAAACGCCTCTCCTGTCCTCTCCTCCCCCTGCTCTCCAAACGGCATTCCAGGCACCCACCTCCCTGCCGTCTCCGCCACTCTCCCCCCCACTTCCTTCCCCGTTTTTAAAGCCTTCTCCCCTAAACCCTTCCCAGTTTCAAACGCGCTATCAGCAACCCTAAACCCTGTACCCGCAACCCCCTTGGCCACACCCACGCCTGTCTCAGCAGCGCGCTCAGCAGCACTCAGACCCAATTTCGCCATACTCTCCCCCGTTTCAATCACACCCTGCCCCATCCTCATCCCCTGCTCGCCCGTTTTAGTCACCATCCCTTCAGCCCCCTCCACAGCCTTCCCTGCACCTACCTTCACCTGACCATACCCGCCCTTCATCACACCCTCCCCTTCCTCTGCCACCTCTCTCGCCCTCTCCCTCCCGTGTTCAAACGGTCCTCCCCCCATGGTTTGAACCATCCCAATCCCTCCCAACCCACTACCCCCCATCCCACGCTCCTCTGTTCCAACGTCCCTAATCCCACGACCTTTCATCTCACCTCTCCCCATCACCCTCCCACCTCCCCCTCCAGGCGCACTTTCGCCTTCCATTTCCGCCAATGCCCGTTCAACTGCCCCCACGCCGCTACCAGCCCGGCCAGCCCCCGCCCCTCCTTCCCCAATGCCCCTCACGCCCTGTCCTTGCGCCCACCCCGGCCCAGACTCCCCTTCAGCTAAAGCCCTAAAACCCGGCCCAACCTCCTCCACTGTTGAAGCCTCATATCCACGCCCAGGTCCTTGTGTCCTCCCGATTTCCAAACTAGTATCCTGGCCGTGCGACCCAATGTCTGGGCTGATCCCAGGGCCGTGCTTTCCAAACGCCGGGCTCCTCTCCAGCCCATGCGTGCGAGTCATGTCCTCAGGCATGCCGGTGGTGCTGGGAAGGGTTGAGAAGACAGGGGGAGGGGACCGGCAGGAAAAGGAGATGCAGACAACTGAAATCTACGGGGGACATGCTTTCCATACGCTGGGCTCCTCTCCAGCCCATTCGTGAGAACGCGTCCTCAGGCATGCCGGTGGTGCTGGTTGGGAGAAGGGGAAAGGGAGCAGCAGGCGAGGAGAGAATATTACAGGATACTCTAGTCATAGGCTGAGCCATGCCTTGCAATCTCTGGGCTCCTCTCCAGCCCATGCGTGCAAAACAAGTCCTCAGGCACCTCTCTGTAGCGCTGTGAATGGTTGGGAGGACAGAGGGAGAGGGGCAGCAGTCGAAGGAAACCATAACAAGTAGCACCACCAGCGCTGATCTCAAACAACTGCAGCAAACTGCAGCAAACCGCACCAAACCAGCGCTGACCACAGCATACCATATCGTACCAAAGCTGACCACAGCATAGCGTATAGTACCAAAGATTACCACAGCATATCAGAACTGACCGTAGGAGAAAATACCCACGGGAACAGCACACCTTGTAATTGAGGACGTTTCAAGTGGTGTCACTCCGACTCCCGTGCCTCGCCCTCCGCCTGCTGCTGTTTCACGTGCCGTTTCACGTGGCGTATCATGTGGCGTTACATGTGGCGTTCCGTGAGACCGCATAGCTCCGCCTGCAAGGAGAGGCGACTCTTCCTCGCTTGAAGGGTGGAAGGGCTGAGCGTACGGTTGGCTGTACGGCTGACTGTACTGCTGACCATACTGCTGGCCAAACTGACTCGGCTGCTGAGCGTACTGTTGACCGTACTGCTGACTGTGTCGACTGTACTGCTGACCGTACGGCTGACTGGGTTGACCTGAAAACATCTCCGTTGACTCAGGTTGGATTGTCCCCGAAGCCACCATCTTCGGCTCCTGGCCCTGGCCTTCACCCTGAAAGCAAGCAAACGGGAGAGGCGCAACAAAAATACTTGTCACAGAGCTTATTAGAGCGTTAATTGTCGGCTATCAGGCCGTCAAAGGACACAGCGCTTGTCAGTACGCGAGTCGCCAACTCGCTTGTCTGAAAAGAGAAAAAGGACGCAATCGGGATAGAACGAGAGGGTGGGCGGAGGAAAGGGTAAGCGGCACAGGAAAGGCGGGCGGGGGATATAAAGAGCGGGGGCGAAAGAGAAGGGTCGAAAACAGGTTCTTGCCTGGCCAGAGACCTTCACTTCGAATCGCTGCTGCTGCTGGGACGCCATCGTAATTTGATTCGCAAGAGGATCGCCGGATACGCTGCGTACTACGCTGCACGGTAGCGCACTCAAGAAGGTAGTGGTATTTAGAGAACCTTGAATATGCTTCCGGAAAGCTCCTGGACCGATCGAAAACTGAAGAGCAGGAACGAGTCTGGTCAAATGAGGAAACGTATTTGGAGCAAGCCTGCGTGCCTGAATTCCCGCGTCGCGCCATATTTAGCCAGCGAGGAATCTGCTGCCTGCCCGCTTAGAGCTGAGAAATGCGGCGCGAGAAATGATATGCTGCATGCAAATTCCCAAGTGTGTGGGGTGGGAGACGTGTGTGATATGTCTGCGAGTGTTCATGAGCACCACGTGTTGGTTGGGGGCAGGTGTCTGCTTCCACTTCGCAGCTCTCATTGTAGCATACTCGTTAGCAAACTAGTCAAGTAGAAGATACGTTTCCATGTTCATACAAATTTTGCTGGTCACGAGTTTGCACGGGTGGGATCGCACTACTGTTCGCATTGCTGGCGGTTTCACGTGCCATGGTAACCCCTCCGGACATTTCGCGCAAGCCGCGAGAAGTCGGCTTTGAACTACTGGAGCCACGTAGGTACACACGTGGCTAACCATCCAGCACGGGAAGCTTCGCACACTCCACAAATGGGATTGCCTTTTTTGCCGTGAATTCGGCACCTTTCCCTCTCCGCAGCGCCTGGGCCAGCCTCATCCCTAGACCAATCACGATCACAGGTGTCCTGACCTTATTGACTTGTCCCTTGCGCTTCGCTTCAATCCGACCTGGCATCGTCAGCTCGGTTAGTGGACGAACGAAGTTGACAGGTAAAGAGGCAATTTGGTAGCAGAGTTCCTTCGCTAACAGAATTCTCGAACATTTTCGTCGACAATAATATTTCGTGAATCTTCTAACGAAACTCGTTTGAAAGTTCGCTTTGCAGGAGGTGACGCATCACCAATCTGGAGACCCATCAGAGCACAAATCAGAGGCCCTTGGGAATGTTGGAGATCTGAATCAGCCAGTAGGAGAATGGAACACCCAGTGAATTCAGGCTTGATCACCTCTTATCTACTGTGTCTCCTCAACTAGTTGGTTGAGCTGCGAATAATGCAAGTGATCATTCCATTCTGAGAGGAAGGACTGGTAGAGTTTTGCTGTTGAATGTTAAACCGCTGGTGGGTTGTAAATATCGCAGAGACTGAAGTATGTTCCTCAAGGACTGACCAGTTGTGAGCCAAGCAGGAGTCGAAAGACCAGTGCGTCTGCTCGTCAGATTCAAAAACCTTGGAGCAAGATCAAAGTCATTCTCAATCCAGGCTCATTCACAAGTAACTCTCAAGACGGACGTTAACCTCAACCATTGTTTCCGTCAAGTATCAGAATCTGCTTTCGATTTGAATACTTCGTATACCCTGTCTATCGACACCCGACATGGAGACCGGAACAACGCGTGCAGCTGTGATTCGTCCGGCAAATGCGCTACCAGGCGCTGTGAATCAGCAATCCCGTGTCGCCGTCGCAAAATCGGCGACTCCCTTCCAGAAATGCAGCTTGCAACTACTATCGGGCTCATCGAACCAAGCCTACTCAGAATCTAAGAGCCTGAATGTGTCGTTAATCAACAAAAGCCGGACGAGCAGGAGAATCATTGTCAGCGCAAATGCCGGCCGCCAAGGAGCGGCAGGCACGGGAGACCGCCAGCATAAACAACAGCACGGCTCCTCCTCCTCCCCCTCGCCGTCCTCCTCCTCCTCGTTCTCCTCTTCGTCCGAGCAACGGCTATCTCACGCTGCGGTGAGCGCAGGCGCGACGAACCGGCCGGAATCCGCGTCGATCGCACAAGACAAGGAGAAGGCTTCAGCGAACATTTCGGTCGGCGCGCTGATGAACGAAGCGGAGGCCACGGAGGTGGAGAACGCGTGGGAGGCGCTCATGCGGTGGGGCAAGTTCTGGCGGGTGAAGGAAACCAATGGCTCTGACGAGGAAACCACCAAGGTGAGAGTTCGTCGCCTTGTAAAAATGTAACCGGTACAGGGATGTCTCCAATGTGTGTGAAGCTCCTTGCGAATGGCAGGTCTTGAAGGTAAGACTTTTGGTAAGCCTCCGACTTTTGAATCCACGAAAACGTTGAGCTCAGAAACAACGTGTGTCATTATAGTTTTCTTGTGATTTCACTCGCACCGGTATCAAACGAAATATTTGGAAATGCGAAAGGAACGTTCGATGTGTGAAGCTTGCTAGGGAGGAAGAAATGTACGAGGCTGTGAATGGCCTGAAGAAGTATCTAGGCGTGAAATCGTTTGTGGAAGAGACCGAAGAGGTGTGTGGTACGATAGCACATTGTGAGACTTGATTTAAGAGGTTCATTGGTGTGGCTCCATCAGACTACACCACGTCAGATCAGCGCCGAATATATGCCTGGTGAAAAAGTCACACTTCGTGTAAAGTGTGTGAAACAGGGTGTGACACTTACAAGTAACTCTTTAAAGCTACTTGCTCACGCCCTTATTCCGCTTTTTGAGTCTTTGATTCCTTTTCCTAAGTTCCAACCCGGTTGCCTCTCCCTCGTTCTGCTTCTCCACACCCCACCCCCCCCACCCCACCTTACCCTTCCCCAACCCCACCCTCTCTCGCGCCTCCGTTTCTCACGATTCCTCTTCGTTTCCTCTCCGCGCGCGTTTTCTCCGCCAGGTCGTTATCTTCGGCGGCGGGGCGTTCGGGACGGCGCTGGCGCACATGCTGGCGCGGAACAATGCGGAGCTGGACGTGGTGATTCTACACCGCTTCGAGGAGGACTGCAAGAACATTAACGAGCTGCACTGTAACAGGTACAAACAAATGCGCAGTTCAACCAACTCTACCCGCTCGCTCAACAAGACCCATCTCACCGTCCACGCTTCCCCCGTGCTCTGAGGATGGTCTGCTGCGGCGTGTGCGATGCCTGCCTGCTGCTCCCCGCGAACTGACCCTTCGTTATTGAATTGTGAGATTCGAGACGTCTCTACTCAATCCACGATGCGCGCATGCTACGGATCACTGGCTGTGTCTCTCATTCATTGTCTGCTCGCCTTCGTCTGGCTGGCTTGCCCGTCCGTTCATTTCCCGAGCATCTCTCATCCTCTCTTTTCCTCCCTCCCTCTCCCCCGACCTCACTTTTTCCTGGCCCCCAGCGGGCGTCGTCCTGCCCGACAACGTGCGCGCCACCGACCATCCGCCCTTGCATCTCATTCTCCCCTCCCCCCCCTCTTCCGCTCTCACTCCTCCCCCAGCGCGTATTCGGGCATCATCCTGCCCAACAACGTGCGCGCCACCACGGACCCCAGGGAGGCCATCACTCATTCTCCCCCTCCGTCCCTCTCCCCCTTACCGTTCCCCTCCCTCTCGCCCTCCTCACCCCAGCGCGTGCCATCCGGGCATCATCCTGCCCGACAACGTGCGCGCCACCACGGACCCCAGGGAGGCCATCTCGGGCGCGCAGTACGCCCTCCACGCCATCCCCGTGCAGGTAAAGCGGTGGGGAAGGGGAGAGGAGGAGATATGGAAAACGAGAAATGGCGGGGGAATTTGTTTAGGGCCATCTCGGGCGCGCAGTACGCCCTCCACGCCATCCCCGTGCAGATGCGGTGCGGGGGAAGAGGAAGATTGGGTGGGAGGGGGGAGATTCGGGGGTAGGTGTGTTTATGCGGACTAAATACGCGCAGTACGCCCTCCACGCCATTCCCGCGCAGGTGCAGGAGGTTAGGGGGAAACATGTATCTTGAAATTGCGACTCTTAATCCAACACTCAGGACAGTCAACCCATGGTCAGCAAGGGGCTGGAGTTGGGCATGATGGAGATGATTCGCACAACGCACCCCCGAAAGAGTTCCAGGACTTGAGTCGGACTCAAGCCTTGTCTTGAGTCGACTCAAACCTCGTCCTGAGTCAAACTGAAGAAGCTGGGCGCGATAAATATGATGACAAAACGCCCC